GGCGTGCTACCGTGCTGGATCAGCAGCTGCTCACCCTGATCGCCAAAAAATACTGCTTTAATTTAAGTTTCAAATTTCAAAGACTGCCAGTGTATTGAATAATTGTGTAATGATTAAGCAGTTTTTAGAAGAATGAAAAATAATTTTCAAATTGATATGATAAAAATCGTTATTAATAGCTATAGTTTTACTAGTTTAGAGTAACTGAAGTGTATTTATACAATATTCTAATGTAATTAAATGACTTGTGAATATTTTCGATTATATTACTGATAATATGATATAGGTAAATAAATAACAGCCAGTATCAGTTGATTTAACAATACTTTGCAAAATATCAAGATTCCTAGATGAAAATAATATACAATAATTTTGATAATTGTTTTCTATTTTTAAAATAATAATAAGTTAGATATAGATAAATTTAATTTTCTACTTAAAGTATTAAATAATTAGTTCATAGATATATAAAAGTTTGAAATATTTTCTAATTAAATATAAAAAATATATTTCATTAGTTTGACTTAATTATTCGATCCTTATAAGTTCAATCTCAGTATTACGCTCAATATTCACTTGTATTAGTCTCTCAGGGACTGGTGTTTAACTACCAATATCGAAGGAACTTCCAAAAATAAAAAAAAATGCTATTCATAAATAGAACCCATGCATATAATACATAATTTATATATTTTTCAGTCTTGAAAATTGAACTTAACGTAAATTAAATCATATCCTATCTTAAACCACAGCTAAAAGATATTTTATTATAATAAAGGTGAATAAAATAAGATGCTCTAACGTATAATAATAATTTTTTTTAAAATAAGTATTGTTATTTTGTTGTAATCAAAACATTTTATTTTTAGAATCTTGAAAAATTCCATTGTTACATAAATAATTATTTTTTTTATGCACTATGAAATGTTATTACTGTTATATGCTTATCAAGCCAAATTATCTAAATAAATATTGACATATACGTTAAAAAATAATAAAAATAATATACGATGCACACACACATAGTAAAACTACCCCTAACAAACACCTCCCAATAGCGGATGTTTTTTAGGAAAACCTATAAATAGTGTACACATATTTCAATCTCAATTTAAAAATAATGACAAAATGACAACAGATAAACGCAATTATATTACTATAATAATAATGAATTCGTTCAAAAACCAAATTGAGTTTTAATTAAAAATGTACCTATGTATTCATATTTATTTAAATATGTATTGTTAAAATATTAAAATTAATAAATCATTAAAACATTAAATAATAATATTACAATTTAATTGAACCTAATATTTTTTCTTTTTATACATTTATTCTTTATGAATTAAAAAAATTTAACCGTTCTGAATAATAGACGAAATGTTGGTGGCAGAGAGTGTCCGCTATTCAGAGGTTTCACTGTTTATACATTATATAATTATTCATCGTTTATTGAATATTAAACTTTTAATGTTCATGATACTTTTGGAGTTCTATAATATTATATTATCCCTAGTAAAAAAAAATGATTAGACAAAAAAAAAAAAACCGTGGATAAAACAAAGCATAATATTATTGAACTGCCACTCAGAAAAAAAAACATTTTTTCATCTCAACTAAATCCCAATTCTTTTTTATCAAAACATTTTATGCCAATCATTAAATTATATACGTATATACACTACTATAATATATTAATCCAATGTTTCGTAAAGAGATAATTGGGTCTTATCGTTATTTTCCTGTAATATTATATCTATATTGATTCGTTAAATATGTATTAGGGTTGTATGATAATAAATCATAAAATAATGAAAATCGCAAATTGTTCTCTCTATCATAATATTTACACCCCTCGTAAAATAGTTGCCTATAATACATCCCAACTCTTGCAACCGGCATGTATAATCGATGGGCGTGGTAATCCGTTTTAATAGTATTATACGGAGGGCTTATAATACAATTACGACGAAATGACTTTTTCTTTTGAAAAATACATGGATTTATTTAGTGATAATAATAGAACAGACAAGCAATCGTGTTATAACTGATTTATTGTTTTTATTTTTATTTTTTTTTTTATCATGACAATTATTGTGACAATATATTTTATGGAATATAGTGCATAGACAATAATCTAAATGTTTCCTCGTGAAGTGAGAAAGGGAGAAGTAGAATTTCTATTGATAATAATATACATAATAGTATGATGTGTAGAATGATAGTGGATCCTAAATGTAGACCAATTGGTCGCGACACCCATAACTACTAATCAATAATAAGACTCAAGTTATAACTTACAGCAAAACATTATTTTGTAAGAGCATAATCGATTTATTTATGATTAAGTTAAGTTCTAGTTAAGTTGACTTAATATTAGCTACATAATAGGTGTTATATAAGTACTAAAATCATTTAAACACAAATTTAAATGACATTTCCACAGATAAAAAGCACTCCAAACCAAATAATCTAAACAAAACAATAAAAACTATCATTACTTCATGATTTTTTTTCTGATTAACACTACGTATACATACAATATTTTAATTATTAATACTATTTAAAAATAGAAAAGGCTTTGCGAAAGTTAATTTTAAATCATTTTTACGACTTAGTGACCCAACCAAGAATTTTATTTTAAAATAAATATTGTCAGATATATGTTGCGTATTTGAGTAGTAAATATTTTTGATTTTTATTAAATAAATTCACATTGATAATAGCATTTAATTTTTGAAACCAATTATTATAGTATTATTTTTCAAATTTAAAATGTTTCATATAATAAATGTCATATTATAGCTTTCAAGAAAACTATGCTGTGTATTATATAATATAATATAGAAGATAGTGTGAAAAATAGTCTAGAAGGTATCAGTTAGCCATTATGTAAAAAAATATCACTGTCGGATAATGATTTAATTATTCAACTCGTTATTAAAATTAATAAATATAATATAATAAAATTTATTTAAAAATAATCATAACAGTTATTACAAACAAAAGAAATTCTATAAAAATAGAACACAGTTCTATGTACGAGTATACAACCATCAGCAGAAAGGTAATTACTAATTAGTCACTTTGAGGTAAAATAATTCTGATGATACATTATTTTTAATAAATATTTAAATCACATGAGCTATAGTTAATTTAATTTGTAAGTGGATATTAAAGTACCTATGAGTAAAATATTTACAAATTTAAAATTCTCATAACTTAACATATACAGACACCTTCGTTTTTACCTTATATTTAACAATTATAGCTCAATGGGCACAAAATTCATCATACATATTATAATTTATCCAACTATGAGCTTACATTAGTAAGAGAAATAAGAAAAATATTATAACAAATGAAAACGCACAATATGAAATTTCAGATTCTTGAAAGTAAATCATATGAAAGTACCAAAAGAAAATAATCACCTTTCTGCATGTAAACGGTTTTAATAAATAAATTTTGTATTATAATATGTAATCTAGTATATATCTTTCGCTGACTAGGTGAATATTGAATGGTATAGATGATGATAAATTTAATAAAAAATATTTCTATTATTTAGCAATAGCTTAGAAAATTTACTTATTGCTTTAAATTAGACAAGCAATCAACACTATTGCGTAATAAAAAATCGATTAACACGAAATATTGTCAATGTGTCACAGGTGAATTCTTTGAAACTAACACAGCAGTAAAAATAAAGATCATGAAACAAATATTAAAAAAGTTTTTAAAAAATAAATAAAAACTTAACTGTTGATATTTTATTTCGTTTATTTTTCATTTATAATTTGATGATAGCTTTTTATTTTTATTTTATGGTAAGTAATTAAATTATATAGGTCATATAATAGCATATAAAATAAACGTATTTGCTAGATAATACACAAATAGATTTTGCATTTTTCAGCATAACGGAAAGGATTTATGGTTCAGTCATAATTAGTTATCGACGTACCATAAAGAATAAAACTCACGATTATAGATAGAATATAGATAGTCCGTAAAATACTTCTTGAAATTAATTAAAAGACATATATAGACATAAGCGAATTTTCTAGATGTGTCGTTTTAAGAGGAGATCGATACAAGTCAATAGTTTTAATTCCTGTGAGTTAAAATGTACCTCTTTTTTACATTTCTAAAAAAAAAATAAATAGTTTTTACTTTTTTAAACTTTGAATTCGCATGTCTTATAAAAATAAAATTGTGCGAAGAAAATGTAATCAATTTAAATTAACTTTCATCGTTAATGATTTGATTGTAACCAGTATTTAAGTCATAAATTTAGAAATCCAATACCTAAGCACTTTGGAAATTCAATCGACTTATAATGTTATATTATTGAGAACTAAATTATTATATATTATGTTATAGGTACTTTCTATTGCCAACCGAAACGTATTATTTTTCTATTGCGGTTTGTATACATGAATAATTTATGTTAATTTATCATATAAAGCTACCATCAAATTAAAAATAAATAAATATGTAGGTATATTACTTTTAATATTGTTCTTTGTTTATAAGATAACGTGCTTAAAAAAAATCATAACAAACTTCTATTAACAATGAATTTTTTCATCATCAAGTAAGTACATATATGAGTGACTCGATACTATTTCTATCATCGCTTTCATGCTTATACTTATAGTACTTACTTCAGTTAGAAATTCGACGACTTCTTAAAAATATTCTTATTCGCGGAAAACGTCAAGTACATTTCGGGGGTGCTGACTTCACAGTTGCTACAAGAATTTATTATCGCCCTCGTCGGTGCCTATATACTACGTGAGAGAAGGATACACTGATTTACCCCTCTTCCCCGGAGAATACGGCTTGTCCCCTGAGTCATAAGTAAATCCGAGCGGTCTAGTCGTAAACAAATAATAAAAAAACAATCTGCAATTGCTTCGTATAAATAAATAATGTAAAATATTAACCCCGAGTTAAAAAAAAAAAAAAAATAATGTATAAATATAAATAAAAACAGTATTAGATAAATGTGATCTAAAATGTAGTTTTGAACGTTTTGATAAGTGTCTCATGATAGTAATATAATAATATACATTACACACATCGCTGCACTATCGTATTCGTTCGATATTTTACACGTTATATTCGTATGACGTGTTCGGTAAATTTTGAATCGACATCGGTGCGTTTTATAAAACTTTTTAAACGTTCTAAGCACACAAATTATATCATCATCTGAAATCCATACAATATACATCGTCGTCATCGTTACAATCTAATACACATGTAACGCGGGTAACGCGACGTAACGCATATAATTCATCATCATCATTATTAATTATTATTACTATTATTATTGTTATTAAATATTATCAATATCGTATAACTGATCCTAACGAATAACCATATCGACTAGCCACAATATCGTAAATAAAATGGAATGTATTAATAGACAACAACGTAAAATTAGTAAACTGTAATAGAAAAAAAAAAAAAAAAAATGGATCGAAAATGTTCAACCGTCCGTTTTGGTGGCGTTGGGCTTGTCCACGTAGAGTTTTGGCGGCATGGGCACGACGTACTGGCCGGACGGCGAGCGGGCGGACAGCGACAGGGCTGGCAACTGCACGTTGTACGGCGGCAGTATCGATCCCGGTTGCAGCTGCTGCGTGACCGGCGGCAATTGCGGTATGTTGTTCTGGTACAGAACGGAGGCCGGGGCCACGAACGGGGCCTGGGGCGTGAACGGGGCCTGAGGCGTGAACGGGGCCTGCGGTACGTACGGGGCCTGCGGTACGTACGGGGCCTGCGGCACGTACGGGGCCTGGGGCACGTACTGCGGAGCCTGGGGCACGTACTGCGGTGGTGTCTGGGGCACGTACTGCGGCGGCAGGTGGACGACCGGCGGCAGCGGGTCCGAGGTGGACACCAAAAACGGCGTGCCGGCCACGATGCCGGAACCGCTGTCGGACCGCGTGCCGTACAGCTGATTGTTGACCGCGTCGCCGGCCTGTCCGCCGGCGGTGTGGTAACCGTCGCCGTTACCGAACTGGCCTTGTTGACCGCCCGCGTTCGTCTTCACCGACGAATCGTGGTATCCCCCTCCGAACGCCTTGCCTTCTCCGTCTCTAAACCTGTGAACCGCAAAAAAATAAAAAAACCCAAAGTGTAACTACTCCGCCGCCGTCTTCGTCGCGAATCGCCCGTAGGTATACCCTTGGAAAAACTAAACGTCGCATCGTGTAATCTGCCGAGCAGAGAGGTCTTATAATATAATGTAAAATATGCGAATATCGGCTATTTGGACTTGATGGCCAAAAATGAAAAAAATATTAACCTTCTCCCCCCCCCCCCCGAAAATGCACACCGGACGGATAAAAACTGTGAAAATCTCCTGCGAAAAATGACACTTGATACTGTTTTGTCGACATCATTATCACGACCCAATTATTATTTAATATGATATATTTTATAGAACAAACGTTTCCGAGACTCGTGTCAAATGAATTCAATTATCATCAGCCGCACGAAATCGAAATCGGAAATAAATTCAATGAAATGAAAGGGACGTTATGCCCGCATAATGTATACTCGTATAATTTAATACACAACCGTTTTAACGCAATCACACCGATCACGTCCTGCAAATAGCAACGATTTTACAACGTCTTACAGTTTACGCGGCGCATCATTAATTATGCAAGTCATATTATGATTAATCGTACCACTTAATATTATAATATATTACCTCTGATCCTTCGCACCATACTGAATCACTCCGCCGTGTCCGAGACCGTCGTCGTAATACGTAGCTTTATTGCCGCTTTCGTTTTTCTGATACGAAGTGCTGAATCCAGCGACTTGGTGTCCCTTGTTCCGTCCGTTTATCCCGCCGTAAGCTCCGCCTTCGACACTTGTAACGCCACGGTCGTTGACACCTTTGGTTTTTATTCACTCATACCGTCAACATGCATACACCACGCGAAATTCAAAAGTACTTGCAATTCGTAAACACTCACCGCCATACGTATTGCCGACGTCATATCCGTTTAGCGCACCGTTATTGTCCCGGTAGAACCCGTTCTGGTCCCGATATCCGTTGGCGTCGATTTTGTTCCCGCCGAACGCCTGTAACGCTTGCAATCCGTTCAACGCCAAGTTACTGCCAGCCGTACCGTATCCCTGGGGCACTTGGTCCACGCTCCAGACTCCCGCCGGATTTATGATGGGTGGTCCTGCGGGCTTTAACTGAACAAAATCGCCACCCATCACGGTGTCCAGCGTTAAATTTATATAAAACGCCTGGACTGCCAATCCGATTCCGGTTAGATGTAACGTTTTATTAGATGCCGTTGAAACTTTTGTCATTATCAACTACCTGTTGATTAAATATTAATTAAACATTTTCTACGCCCGAGTTTTAAACGTCACCTTTAAAACGTGATTTATACTACAAGCTGGATATTATTCCCAGTAGATTGAGTGTTCGTTAGCGTATTTTTTCGCTGTATACAAATTTATAACTGTCTTAAAATAAACTCTTTACTTTCAATTATATTGTCAATGTTTTTGGTAGGTAACCGATTTTCTTAATTACGTCTTCTTGATTATAGATTTCTCTACTGTGTGTATTATTATAAAATTACTGCGTAGTATAATTAGGTATTACGCGTAAATGTCAAGTACGTCTGCTGTGTCTGTCCATAGTCCGTCCGATTGAAATAATTTGCCATGGTTACCAATACTATTGTAGATCTTACAAAAAATGTTATATTATATTATATTGTATTATAATTTAATTTGCATTCCTAATTCCTATAGAAGCTAAAGTACTTTGTGCCTACCATTGTGTTTGATATACTCATTATTATTTATTTGTTTATTTATTAACTTTAAATAAACTTTTATCTTTTATGATATTAATTTTATTATAACAACTAGTATAACTACTTACAATTTATTTACGACTTGATTTAATTTTATTTATGTTTTATTGATGATAATTTAGTCCCATTGAGTTTGATTAAACATCATAATGTTAATTATTGGTTATAATAAATTTATGAACTAGAATATATAATCATAATATGAGTATGCAATTAGTACGAGCACTAATAAATAATGGGTATGAGACATAAGTACACGATTAAATATGAGAACATAACATAATATGACTTATTTTATACTTATAGACGCAAAAAGTTAATACCTACAATTAAAATACAACTCATAAATGGCAGTAGAAGATATTATATTTTAATCAATTAAAACGAATTACATCAAAGTTCGAGTTAATCTTGTTTTAATATTGTGGCTTTATTGTTTAATATACTCGTAATAAACTTAATTGTTTTTGAAAAAAATACGTAATTCTTATTTGTATTGATTTTCTTTTCTATAGTTCAAATAAATAATTATATAAATACTATTTACAAATAATGAACCTAACTTAAACGTAAGTTATTAAATAGTAATCAATTAATTTAATTATTGTCAATAAAATACTCACTATCAAGTATAATGCTGTTGTTATTTTTTGTCTATTGTTTTTTTTTTTTGTATGTATATATTAATTATTTTTGTTCATTAACATGCGGTTAAAACTTTTATTGTCGTTTAAGGGTTATGTAACACATTTCTGTATATTATAATATATTATAATATGTACCAATATCATTTTTTTTTTTATTCAAATATTGATAAAAATAGACGAATCCTAAAAATACCTTGCACTCGATTTAAATAAATATTAATTAGAAGCATATTAAATTATAATTTATTGCTTTTAATCGAAAAAAACTACGTAATGAGGATTATAAAGGTTAACATGACAATAACTAGTCTCTTATAAAATGTTTAATATAATATATTGTTATAAATTATTTATTATTGATATTTTTTTTATATTTATATTTTTTGTTAATATTGTAACTTGATTATTTCCATAGAATAATAAAATATAATGCTCATATCTATCAATAAAAAACTACAGTAGGTATATCAAGTTAATATATTATTATTATTATTTATTCTTGTTATTTTTATAAAAATATAATAAATTGTTAAAACCCAAACACATATTTCTCAATTACATTTTTAAATTAATGTTATAAACATTAAAATGAATGTAAAAACAAACTAGTGTAATGCCAATAAAGAATATTGTGCAGAAACATCATTAAAAATATTAACTATGAATTTCTAGACATGAATAGTTTAGAGTTTTTTTATATTCATGTCTAGAAATGCACTGTTATTTAAGGTATATATAGGTACATGATAAATTAAATTTAAGGTCACAGATTAATCATCCGGAACGTTCACCTGCTAATTATTTTAATCACGATTAGAAACCGTTAGTAAAAATAAATCGTTAATCATCAAATATAAATATTCAACAATTTATTATTTATTTGTTTATATTAATTTTTGATAAATTTTTGTTAAATTACATCGAACATAGAAGTACCTAAACGTATTATATGGTTATTTATAATATCTGTAAAGATTTTTAAAGAGTGATACCAAGCAAAACAGTGAACGTGTTTTAAAAAAATGTAAATGTTTAATATTATAGAAACGAACGCGTGGAGGGCTTAACAAATGTTATAGGTACTAAAGATATGTATCTACACTATTTTACATGCTATAAAATTACAGTTCGAGTACGAGGTTGTATTCTTTTTGTCTATTGTATACCCAACCGAATAGAATATTAAGGTCGGGCGAATCTCACGAGGACAGACTCTTTTTTTTTTTTTTAATATACTTAAGTTCAAGCAGATAATATGTGAAACTATAAGGTCAAACTACGGTTCTTAAAAATAATAGAAACTTCTGAGTTGGGAAGGAGCATAGATAAATAAAGACGCATAAAAAAAAAAGCGTGATCATTCAATACACACAATATTTTTAAATGAACGCCTATTAAATTATAATTGTACGCAATTTAACTTAAACGAGAATGCAATCATAATTCCCTCGTTGTTAAATTATTATTCAAGAAACGATTGAATAAAATAGCGTATTAAACTGTGCATTACAAATTACAGCAAATCATAATTTAAGTATTTCCAAAAACAGTTCTTAAGTTTGTTATTCATACTGGTAAATGGAATCAACACATCAAAGAAATCACATGCAACATACACAGTAATCATGCTATACACCTATATCGTTATTTACTATGGTCTAATGTGTGTTCTAATACATATGTTTCCATAAAAGATTCGGTGATAAGAAAAAAAAAATGTCGAAAATAATAACAATGACAAAACTAGTGTAAAGAACAAACAAAAGTAAACAGACATAATTTGGTATAATATTGTTTTACAGCTTACCCGCGGTAATGTTGACCGTTCTCTCTATTAAGAACAATATCATGATTATAATATCATTATTAAACATTTGCGTGAAAATAAAACAGTTATAGATACCTAGATACAATAAGTAAAATGTTATATTAGTTGGAATAAAAAACAAACTTACAATAGTTATACACTGATCGAAACGAAAAGGCTTATTGTCGCACACCACGCCGAACGAATTCACCGATTTTTCAAAATACAAAATGAGTAAAATGACACTATAAAATAATATTTTATTATCGCCGTATAGTAGTAAATCTGCAGCTGTATGTATCACTCACTTCGTACACTATCGCGGCTAACCGCGTTTCAAGCCGACTCTGTCTCGCCAAGTAAATCGTATAACGCGAAACGTTTTACTAAATTCATATAATATACACAAAAACACTCATTCGTTTTGGCTAATGCCTACACCCAAACCGTTTTTACAGTTTAATGGTGAATTATCGGGTTCAGGGTCAATTATTGAGCATAAATCGGCTGCGGTGCATTGTTTCCGATCACCGCCAAGTGAACACCAAATATATAATATAGTATATATATTTATTTAACTAGGCAGGCAGGTATGTTAGCACTTATATATAAATATAAATATGTATATGTATATTGTATATTATATACAAAACGCACTGTTATTCTACAGTGTATATGATCATTATTAAGAACATTATTATAAGTTATAACCTTCAATTACTACTAACGTGACGTCGTCTCGCATTCCCGACAGTCTTCAGAATCTGACTTCAAAACTTCAAATGCATTTCAAAATGATAGGTATTTTAAACCTCCAATCAAGTATTATTTATTTTAGACTTCTAAAAGTAATAAGTATCTACATTACTAAAGTATCCCGTATGTATTTGGTTGAATTAAGTTTTCAGGAATAACCCGTAATATAATAATATAATACTCTGTTTTATTATTTATGACAATGTGATATCACAAATTCACAAGACATTGATTTTTGTGTCCAGCAACTGTAAAAATTGTGTGTCGGCACTTAGTTTTTTTTTTAATTGTTATCTTTAATTTCAGTACCAGTTAAGAATATTTATTACTTAAAATGTTTAATTTTATTATGTTTTTGCAATCAATGATAAATATAACAGAATATTTAAACATAAGTAACAATAGTCAATAAGTACTTATTTTACTAATATTTTTAAAATAAAACATTAATTATATTTTTTTTTTTAGAAGTTACATTAGGTAGGTGCATATCTTAATGTTAGTATTCTTAACGTCTAAACAATAATAAAATATAATACAATACAAATGTAATATATATACTTACGAGTATATATATAAATATAGGTTATTAAATTAAATTAAATATATATATATATTAATATTTTTATTATTATAACAAAAGTATGTAAATAACTTAACATAAAGAATAGTGAGATGATACAAAGAAGCTAAGTAGGTAATAATCTGTATAATGATATCTTTATCAAACTGAAAAATATTTGAAGTAATAACTTTATAAAATTAAAAAAGTAAAATGATACTATTTTGAGAGTAAATTTGTAATTATTTTAACGAAAAAGATGTTTAATTTGATTCAGCTTAGAGGTTTGAACGTATAAGTATAGGTAGGTTTTGAAGACAATTTTAAAGGGCTTTTATACATGATCAATTGTAGAGGGTGGAATCTCCTTATTTCACCCCCGTTTTAACCCCAGCAAAATACTATAGCGTTACTTACTGGGCTAAAATATTGTATTCTTAAAATTTCTGACAATATAAATTTTGTATAATGCATTAAATCATTTCAATAATACTTCGTTTCAATGGTATATTATTATTAAAAATAATTAATTTTGATTTTGTGATATTATTCTTGTTCGAATTTTAATGTTATTCAACTAAATTTGCATTTATTTATTGTTTTACACACTTTTAGGGATGCAAGTAATATTAATAATGGAAGATACAATCTCATATTTAAAAGTTAAAACCATAGCATGTCATATTTTTATTGGATTTTACGATTATTACATGGAATAAAATATTTTATTAATATAAAATTATATTTATATAGCATGTATTTATGTTTTATTATTTAAATAATATAATTGTAGATTTTTAAGGTAAATAAATATGTGTAATTATTAACAGCAACCCGGGTTAAATCTAGGTTTTTGTTCTGCGATGTATAAAGCAGACGTTTGAATGTCAACATCTTCTCTAATCAACATTTCTCTGAAAATAATTTTTTGACAATTTAGTAACTGTAGATACAATACTATATCGTATCAATATTAACAAATTTTTATTTACATTTTATTGGATATGTGATTAGTAATTCGAAATGTTTAAAAGTAATTATATGTAATTTATTTATACATATTATATTGTTAAATGATTAAAATATGCGTACAACGTGTTAAGTTCAATATCTGACTGTGTATAAGAAATCAATTAAAAAAAAAGTTATACCTGCATAGCGTAATCAATGCATTGTTAATGTTTGTTCCTAGTTTGGAACTAGTTTCGAAAAATGCTGCATCGTAATCCTTTGCCAAAAGTTCACCATGATTTGTGGACACGCAAGTCAATCCTTGCAACTCTGCCTCACGCCTTAAATCCAGTTTGTTACCGCAAATACAAATCGGTAACTGTTTATCAGATACTTCCTATGTATAAATATATTGAAATTATTAAGTAGGTATTATAGGTACTTTTGTTTATTAGTACATAACAAATACTCATTACTAAAATTATTATTATTTTGATAACATGTAATAATATTTTTTATTTTCAAAAACCACCTAAAGGGAAATGTAGAGCTTACACTGACTGCAGCTAGCACAATATCAACATTCTAAATAATAACCCATGATAAAAAAATATCACTTATCTAATAAATAAGTGTATACCAGGAAAAGAGTTGATTAACTCGTAAGTAAACAATTTTTCGAGTTACGGTTATTTGAAAAAAAAAGATTTATTTTCGATAAGTAAAACTTTATGCACTATAAATATATTTTATTATATCAATTTATCTTGAAAAATAAAATAATAAATATTTTTAAATTAACTTTTAATTTCTAACTTGTACACGTTTAATTATTTATTAAATACTAGTCAATTGTAACAAGGAAATAGAGCAAACAGTGTTTTATGAATTATTAAAAAAATTATTATGATGTGTACACTGTACACAAATCGTTTTGAATTAAAAATATTTACATATACCGTTCTAAAATCGTGTTATTTACATTGAATTTATTTTAATTATTTTTAAGAGGCTTCTTTACTTCCAAACATTTTACTGTAAAGACTTAAAGTTTTCACAAAATTAAATTAATTAACGTCATCAGATTTTTAATCTGAAAAAATATGAAGACACTAATTTTGAGTAGTATAATTAATAGCGAGTAGCGTGTTTAAAATATTCTAATGAATTTTTTTTTATCTCTATTAAAATATTGAAAAATTATGATATAAATAAACTAAACATTTAATATACGATTTTTTCTTAGAATCTTATCTTTAATTCATTTATTTAATTAGCTTAGTTGCAATTTTGATTTTAAAATAATTTAACATTTATTTAAATCAATTTATTACTGAAATTAAATTGATTTAAAGAAAATTAAAAATGCACTAATTCTAATACGAATCTAAAATTTTTAATTTAATACTATTATCAATAATTAATATATACATATAGGTATTATACATGAATATAATTATCTATATTGACTATTAGGTATAACTATGGTCATTCATTAAATAATCTTTTTACCGTGATCGATAAAACCCATTGACGAATATTGATAAAAGATTTTTCATTCGTTACATCATAAAGTAAAACGACTCCATCTGCTCTTCGAAAATACGCTTTTGTAATGGAACGAAATCTCTCTTGTCCTTTAAACAACATGGAATGTTTTAAATGTATCATTAGTCTTTTGCAAAATTCATAAGTCTTGTTAAAATAATTTTAACTATAAAAAATACATAATCTACTGAAGCATATATAATATTAGTAGTGATTATTTTATGTCTTAACATTTATTTCAATTACAAACTAATTAAAGTATTGTAATTATTATTTGATTTATAAATTATATAAATTAATTTAAGTTTCAAATTCCAAATAATATAATTTATTTATTAAAAACTTTTAAATTTTCATTACTAATTATTTAAAGTTTCCTATGAAACTTCTTGCTCAACATGGTGATTAAATATTTTAAATTTTAAAAATCTCCGTGAAGTACTAGGTTCCTTCTAAAGTATGTATTTTTTCAGTAAATATACTTTTTTTTTTTTAAATAAATACTATTAATATGTTATAATAGATATAAAGCCTAAATTCCGATGCAATATGCAATTATTATTATTATTATTATTATTTTTTTTTTTTTTTTTGTTGCTCTAGAAAAATAGGTAGGTACTCTCAAGGTACACAATTCGGCCCTAGTAAAAGATACTTAAAAATAAAAGTTATATGTTATATTTTTCATTATTTTATGATTCTTAAAGCATTTTTTAGTGTTTTAAGGTAATTTTATTATTTTTAAGAAAATTGATTTACTGAAGAAATTGTTTAGGGTAAATGCAATGCTAAAAATATAACAGGTATAAAATAGTTAAATGTAGATTTTAATGTCATTTAACACCTTCATTTTATATTTTGTATACTTAGAACAAATAATACAGCCCTGATATGATGTTGTTTATTGATAAAACCTATGGCATTTGAGTCATTACCAATTTTTTCGATAAAATAATTAAATTTTTTTAAATATTTAAATTTAAATTTAAAAAAATATTTTATTGTGATTTTTTATGAGTATTATTATTATAAGATATTTTTTTCTGGGAATTTAAATTCAAGTCCTATAAATATAATAATTGTGTAATAGTTTTTTCTATAGTATGCTTTCTTCAGAATCAATATTCATTGGTTATTCATTGCTCGACTGTAGGAAATTCAAGGTCTTTCAAAAGTCAAGATCAATATTTAAGCACGAATAGTAAATACATAAAAAAAATTTTTAAACACTTAAAATACTCTCAAAATGTTAAATGATATACAATATTATATCAGAACTCATGTTTTCTTAATTTTTTTTATATATAAAAAGTAGAGACTGACATAAAAAAATGGCAATTACATGAATCAAAGTTACGTAACTTGGTTACATTTGTAATAATTAATCAGTTATACAATTTTTAAATAATTTTATGATGTAATTTGTTATGATATTAATGTTGTATTTTTAAATAAAATTTATGTAATTTAAATTCAAATTAACATAATTTTTAAATATTTTAAATAATATTTAGTCAACAATCTTTTTTTTATATTTTTAGTATAATACTTAAAAATTATGTGTTTTAGTGTAATAGTATTTAATTCCAAAAATGTTATTTTACTATGATGTATCAAGTGTTAAACGACTGGAAGTTAATTTAAAAGAATTAATTTAACGATTGTCAAGTGTATCGTGTGCAAACTCTAGTTTGTATTATCTCTATAATATTTTTAGAAAATAATAATTTTCAAAGTTAATTTTTTTGAAAGAGTTGATCTTTTTAAATGTTACCAGCTGTATCCCATAACTGTAATGCTACACTTCTATCATCAACTCTAATTGTTTTCACTTGAAAGTCAACACCTGTGAAATTAAATTTGAAAACAATAATTAATATTAATCAATAACTATCTGTTCAAATTGTCTATTTATTATTAATACAAATATGCTGCATTAATTTTTTTAAACTCCCCCATAAGGCGTATTCATAGAAAACATTTTAAATTAGTAATTATTACTTATATTCTTTTGATTGTTATAATTATTACTTAGATTTTAAGATTTTTTCTGAAATATTTTAATGACATTTAATTGATACCTAAAGTAGATCCAAGTTTTGTGGAGAAGGTGCCTTTACAAAAACGATGTATGAAACATGTTTTTCCAACAGCTGCGTCACCGGCGAATACAATTTTATATGTTCTTTCTGGATCATTACCCATCATATCATAACTACTTATACTCATTGCACTAGCTGGTGTATGAAATTGCATCATATTTTGTGAATCACGACCAGATAAACTCATTTCTTCATATTCTATCTGAAAACGATTGTAGTATTAATATAAATTTGATAAATTCTGACGATTATAAAGTATAAAGTCTCTAGCTATATTATTTATTTACCTTAAATTATTTGGTATACCACGTAATGAAAAACAACTTACACACATAATAAATTTATATTATGTAAGAATAACTTTTTTAGTATTCTACAGAAATTTAATGATGATGCACTATGTATTGTTATACTTTTTGAAATGACCTAGAACTAATTTAACCTTTCATAAAATGAGCCAATTTCATGAAATTATAAATATAGTAATGTTTTAAGTACCTAATACTTATCTACAAGGTAATTATTATTTTGTTTTTAGAATTTATTTTTCGATAAAACCCAAAATCAATAAATTAAGTCTTTTTATTTTATATTGTTTGATACTCGAGTGAGTCACTTATCTTATTTGAATAAAAACAATTAAAATTATATAATACGAGTAATATAAAAATATTAAATTAAATGTATTAAAAAATTACGAGAAAAAAATGAAAAAACTGTTGTTCTATATCGTTGATACTTTTTAAAACATAAATTTCAAACATAAAAGAACCAGAAATAATCAATATAAAAAGCATGATTAAAAAATGCATGAACATAATCATTAAAATAGTCGTTTAACACTATGATAAGTTAAAATCCAAAAATTTAAACGCAATGAACTATAATAGACCGAAAAAGGAAATAGTTACTAATAACAAAAATGACGCACTTAAAAAATTTTAAAAAATATCTCCAAATATCTGGTAAAAGCAAGCAAAAAATCCTGTGGATTATATAGTAAATAATAATAAAATAAGTAATAGTTTTAGGCCTTTAGAATTTTTGCCCTTGGAGTTCTGTATTACAACAAAACAATTAAAATCATTATTCTTCTTTTAAATAACCTATATCGTCAACATTCTAATGTTTTTATGCATGTATCAAAAAAAATATGCTAGTATATTTTCAGATTTTTGGGTTATAAATTATGAGCAAAAAAAAAAATTGTAAATTTTTGTTATTATGTTGGAATATTAACTTCAAACTTTCTAAATAACTTTTTCTAAAATTGTTATAAAAAAATGTATGCAGGATATTGATTGAATTTTAAAGTTTTTTAACCAAACCTTAATATTTTAATTAATACACTAAAAAAATATTCAAACTTTTAAATACTTACATAACTTATTGAGTTCAAGAATTTATAATTTAAATAACAATTGAATATTTTAACTTTCTAAGAGTAATACTTTTTGCATTACAACAAAAAAAACTTAAATTGTTTGATAAGATTTCGTTTGTTTTTTATAAAATGATTATTTTTTAATTATAAAATTTATACTTCACAATCGTTTCAGAATATTTTTGGAATTATATTTAAGTTACTTCATAATTATTATAAGAAAAATGTACATAAAACCTTGTAATTTTTGATGAATTTTATCTTAATTTTAACTTCAAATACTAAAAAAATTACTGTAGATTTAATATTAACTTTTTTTTAATATTCTACTATAACTATAAATAACAATTTATAAAAGCCCTGTATTACATTTTAAAGTTTTTGATAAAGCGTAAATTTTTGATCAATATTTAAAAAAATAAAAATAATTTGTTTTCAAATTACAATAAAATAACAAAATTAATTTGTATAAAAATCGTCATTATTATTTATTTATTTTTTTTTTTTGCTTATCATAAATATTAAAAAAAAACCACTGGGAATTTTTAACCTTAACCATCAATACCATCACCTAAAAAAGTAACCAACTAGGACTGCATCTTCTAGAAAAAATATTGTTAACATTATTTGGTAAATTTACTTAATGTATCAAATATAAATATGAAAGTGATAAAAATATTGTAGTTTAAATTTTTTCATTTAAAATTTATCATATGAATCACTTTATTCATTGAATATTTTCCCAATATCAACTAGTTTTACTATTATATTAATTTATATTTTATAATATTTTAAGTTAAATAAATAAAAATGTATATAATTCGTTAATTTATTCTATTCCCCCAACTTTTAAAAATTACTAATTTAGTAATTTAAAAAGCAAAAATCACATGCTAAATCACCAATAACATTTAAAACATTTTAACTTTTAAAATTTTAACAACACTCCGACTTGAGTGTATTATACGAGTATTAACTAAATTATTAAACATCAATCATTTAATGGATTTTTAAAACGAATAAATGAATCCAGATCATAAAATAGTTTTATAATTCCTAATGAAATGCCTAATAAAATGTTTAAAATAAAAATATTAATGCTAGTCATTACTAATTAATTTACTAACACCTATAATACGAGCTAATAAATGCTTATTTCTTAAAAATATTTCATATCCAACATCTTATAAAAACAATATAATTAAGAATCATATTATTATAAGAGATTTAAAGATACCTTAGAATATTAAGAAAATACTATAATTTTTGTTTTATTGACAAATAATAGAGTTATTAGTTATTATTTATTCGTTTTATTAATAGCATATTAATAAAACAACATATTTTTATTTCTTACATTTAATAGTTTTAATTACATATTAATTTTAAATACCGTTTTTGCTGAATGATAAGGTGCATTGATTGAAGATGCACTTGAGAGTTCATCTTGTAGATCTCTTTGATAATAATTATTTGATTCCATAAGAGTAGACCGTCCGCTGTCTAAAATTTGACAAAACAAAAAAAGTATGTTGGACCTTGTAAAATATATTTATATAACGGTAGTTAATATTAATGATTCTGAAATTACCAATATCATCCATTAGTCGTTTTATAGTATATTGTGCTCCACTTTGTTCTTCCAAAGGATCGATACTTACTTGTGTTCTAATAATATTAAAATATATTTAATATAATATTATAATAGTGATTTTATTTATATCATTGAAAAAAGTTACACACTTGTTGTTAAACTCCTCACATTTAATTTCATATTCGGATCTAAGTTTTTCCATTTCCGTACGAACCACTGCCAAATTAGTTTGGGTATCAATTAATTTACGTCTAAGTTCTCTTGACTCTTCTATGGTCTCGTCCAAATCGTTTTTGTCCGCTTTTTTTTGGCTTAACACAGTGTTCACCTTTATAAAATTCAATTGTGTTAAACATAAACCAGAACATATTAATGATATATATTGTAAACCTTCTGAAACAATTTCAAATGTGTTTTTAATTCTATTGTTTCGGCTTCCATTTTTTTCATTAATTCTTTTTTTTCAAATTCAAATTGTTCTCTTGCCTCGTCTCTAGCTTGAGCTTCAACTTTTGCAACTTGCGCATCTATTTCTTCTTCTAAGCCCCGCAGTCTTGTTAGATGTATTTGACGCTCACTAAAAAAAAAAAAAAAAAAAAATATTATTATTATTAATTATTATATATTTTTATATTATATTTAATACTGATGCATTTTACCGATTAAACATATTTTCAAGCTTTTCATTATCTTCGTGTAATCGTTTTACATCTTCCATTAATGAACTCAAAGCTCCCTCAAAATGCGTTATTAGTTCTGATGATGGACTACAATTCTGAATTTCCATGTACAAATCCGCTAATTTTTTTCCACTGAAAATATAAATGGGTAAATGACTTAATAATATGTAAAAAAAAAAAATAATAGAAACATTATTTGGTTATATAATTCAAAATTTGTATAATTTTATACATCATTGAATAGTAAAGAAATGTATAAATTCAACGAATACCTTGTAACATCTCGCACATATTTAGGCCTCATGTTTGGTGTAGAGTGTTATCTACGTAACGATAGAATATACAAGGGTCACCAACCCATTGCCGAAGTTGAAAAACTAGATTTTATGGGGTTTTTCTTTTTTATAATAATAATAATAATAATAACAACTCATGTCACAAAAATGTAGGTATAAAAAATGTAGTATATTAAATGTAGATATGTAAGTTATGACCGAGCTAAGGAAGCTCAGACGGGCGTAAAACTAAGAAAAAATAATACAAAGAATGATAATAGTTTCGACGACAAGACAAAAATCATCTCACGTTAGATGGATTAAAAATTATTAACATAGATAAATTGGTTATGATCAAGCCATTCATCAGTTCCCCTACACTGTTACCTGGCATATGGAAATAATATGATAAAAATAATAAAAATAACAATAACTATATTTACGCAAATAAAACAATAAAAATACAAGCCAGGGTGAGAACCGCTTAGAAATTATGAAACATTTCATTTCATAGAGTGCATAACTTTACCTTCAAGTATGTTTTTCACGTATACCCAAGAGGACCTAACGACAGACCCGCCGGTGTACTTCTTTACCATGATAAGGCAGCGTATGGAAAAATAAATGACACTACACTATATAGCTCGTTCGCTGATGATGTGAAAAAGTCGTCGGACGACAGAGACATTAAAGAAAAAGATGTACTTAACGATGATGATTATAATGAGCTATCCGATTCGATATTCTAATTGTCATTATAAACTATACAGTTCCGGTTATATTATCTGACCATATGGAAAGAAAAAGGACATGTGTGTATATAACACACAGGCAGATGTTAACGTCGATCAGTCGGTCTGTGTTCTATAAAAAAAGAAAAAAAAACTATCACACTTACATTATCAATGCCGAATATTATGAATAACTAATTAGAAAATGTATTTAATGTGTTTCATCTAATCTGTTCATACTTGTAATAACCTATATTTTTAATCTTTATATTGTATGTTATTTATTTAAATTTCTATTTTGACATGAAGTACAATTAAGAAAATAACAACTTAAATATGCATATATTCTATACCCATAATATACTGAAGTATACATATTATGTAACTGGTAAATCCATACATTTTTAAATAAGAATTAACAAAAAAATAAATTCAAAAACTATAAGAACAAACGTGGATAAGCTATTATAGAAAGTAGAGAAATATTAGCGAGTTGTCAAGAATATAATAAAAAGCTTCATAAATAAGTATATTAATCACAACAGGTAAAAACAAGAAGCGATAATATTAACTTAACGGTTGACTAGATAAGAATTTTTATAAAGCATTAAAAACTAATCCACTCTAAAAACTCTAAGTGTTGATAAGTTACTAATTGAGTAAAAGAAGCAAGGAAATGTATAGCTACTATAGAGATAGGATAAAAATTATACAATATACACATCACACATGTATGTAAGTATATACTAATAAACTATACATGTGCCTATTTTACTATCATACATTATATATTATGTATATTTTTGAATTAGGAATTCCTCAAAATTTGATTAAACTATGTAATAGACGTATTACCTATATAATATTATAATGCAACGATAAATATTTTAATAAACTTGATATAAGTTATAAATACCTCGTATGGAATAATTTTTTTAAAGCTGGCTCTCCGATAACAGCTACAAAATTTGACCAGGCTTGTGAATTTCTCTTTTCCAATTGCCCATGATGTATATATTCATTTTGTTTGTTTTGTTTATCAGGAGATAAAAAATCACGAAATCCCCACGCAAAGTCCTCCAAGCATATTTGTCCGTCGCCGTCGCGATCCAAATCTGTAAATATCACATCCGAATCGCTGGGTTCAATATCAAATTTGGCGCATAATTCTTGAAACTCTTCTGGACCAATTTTCCCTTCGCCATTTCGATCACATTCGTAGAATAAATCTTCTAAATGAACGTCACTCATTATGCTTCACACTTTTTTTTATAAAGTGTTCTTGCTTGTGTAAATGGCCCCTTTTACGCACTACATGATATTTGTAATAATTAAAGCCAACTAATATGTGTCATGGTAATAAAAACCAAACCGAAGAAAATAAATATGCACACGTAAATTATTCGTAATTATTAGTTAAGGTATCAATGACAAATATGCACTAAACGCACTCACTGTAATATACAAGATGTTTTAAAACATATAAAATTTAAAAAAATATGAAGTATATTTCATCACTAAAAATTAGCAAATATATTTTGTCACAAAAATATTTTACATTCACATACAATTTGGTCTATCAGACAACGCGACGTCATGTATTTGTTCATCGGTGCTATGTTGCTTAAGCTGTTTAAACACTGCACGAATCATTGTATAAATAATATCCATATTATTGCTTTATATATTACAACCAAAATATAACTTTATTAAAATGAATATCAGCGACTATTGTTATTACAATAGTAAATAATACAAATCTATATGGACGATAATTACTCGTATATTAGAATTAACATTATTAGATACAATTTTATGAAATAAAAATTATAATAAGAACACGTATTTGTTACTTAAATGATTTAACCTTCAACTTAATACTAAATTAAACATAAAATTAAATTATGATCATAACGTTTAAAAATTCTTAAAAGGAATAATAGAAATTGCATAGGTAATATGTTAGGTAAATTATTATAAATACAAATTGCTTGAAACCGATGAGAGATAATTTTTTAATGAAATGTGTTCCTAATTGAATATTGGTATTAAAAGATGAAAGTTGTTGTTTTAAATAGTTCCCATACGTCACCTGCAAGCGATTATATTAAATTATAAATTATTTTTTTTATAAAAATATATTTTTTAATTTATACTAAATAGTAGGTTATTTAAATTAAAAATAATTAATTTATTATTAATAATTTTTAGTTATTTTATAATTTAACTAAAATATAAAAACAATGTAAAAAATAGGTAAAAAATCAAATCAAATACTCGTAATATATAGTTAAATATACTTAAATCAAAACAAAATTTTAACAACTCGATATTCAGTATTGTTAATCAAATTAAGTATCTGATCCAGACCCCCAGAAATATCTTCAATAGCTTACAAATATTTAAAATACGAGTAGCTATTTATTTTTAATACCAACATAAATATTATGTTCAATCATAAATGGTTAAAACTTCAATTAATTAAATTGACTAATGACTGTTTTTTTTTTTTTTATCATAATATCATATAAAAATATTAATATAGTGTCTAATAATAGATTGCTATTGATCAACATGACTGCTATAGATGCTAGTCGACGTCTCAATGGTCGGCGACAATTATTAACTACAAAAATATTTTATTTGTGTACCTAAACTAAAAATATTATAATAATTTATTGTTGTCCACCAGACTGTGACAAACACGTAAAATTATTTAATTAAATAAAGTATAAGTTGATAAGATTTTAAAGTAATTTTATTTATTTGATCATATATTTTAATAAAATAAGATTATATCTTTTTTGTCTTATTGTTAACCAAATATCAAAACCTAAATTCAGTAAATATACAATATACATTACACAGATTTTATCACCCTCCTTCCACGCCCGAAAATAATTTTTGGATACAGCCTTGTTGACTTGTTAATACTCACATGACTATATCAAGGCTTATATAATGTAAGGTTATTTAATTTTTCACAATTCCAATCACGGTATCTAAGGACATTAGGAGTTAGGGGTTAAGATGCATATTCTCCTATTTTTTATTGATAAAAATATTCTTGTGTAGAACTCGCATAGTCACATATCATATTAATGATTTTATAATCCAATCAAAGCGTGATAGTTTTGTTATATAAATATAAAATATCATGTTTTTTTATCATTTTTGTGATCAACACTTTTTAGATAATCGTTAAGAGTAAACTATTATGTTAAAAAATTTAATTAAATAATATCACTCTTGGTTGGAAATTGAATCTGTATGAACCTACTTACATTTAAACGTATTTTTTTTATTTAAAAAAAAAATTCCAATAGCCTTTTAGTGAATTATCTATTTTTTTATATACATGTACCAATATATATTTAAATATTTTCATTTCGAATATAGTTACTAAAAGCTTTTATAATCATATTTAAAATTTGATTTTCATTAAAATGTATTCAGCTTATAAAATTATGTTGTCAATAATATTATCAATTTTGATTTTTTGTTAAATATAATTAAAATATTTGTTTAATTATGCTATACAAGCATTAACATTTTTTTGCTCTCGAATGAATGAAACAATACAAATTACCAACAATAATTTTCTCGATCTTATAAAATTTGCATAGTTTATTTTACTTGACTGGGGGGAAAAAAAATAAAAATCCTCATTCTAAAAGACGTCTTGGTATATTTTTATACATATAAAATAAACTGTATTACATAAACATAAAGGCATAAAAAAAGTTTAACATGAAACTTTTTTCCAAGAATCTTTAATGTGAAAATTCCAAATGGTCATTTAAAAAAATGTAACAATCTGAACTCATGCGGTACAATTTTGAACCATTTTAAGTGAATATATTAAAATATACAATTCAAACAAGTGATGAATTTATTAAATTATACATAGGTACACAACCTATGTTAAAACATATTGATAAGTCAACAAGTCTGTCACAGGTTTATTGTTGTAAGGTTACACGTTGTATTTGGTCTAAAATAATAAAACGATCAGTTTTGACGGATGGATTATACGTAGTAGATAATAATATGCGATAATACAACACTGATAAATAATTTATAGCTTCATATTAGCTAAAACCTATGCGCAATTAAAATACTGTTGATGTATTGTTTTAGTATTTGGCCAAACCCACTATGATATTTTATATTATACGCAAAACTAAAGTCTTTTTAATTTAGTTATTGCTTTAATATCTCAAATAAATTATTTATCTTATCGGTGTCAGCATATTAATACATAAAAAATTAGATACTGTAACATGATGAACTAATGTGATTGGTGGCGATAAGAATTTAAGAAAAATATTATACATTAATACATTATTTACGATTGTGTAGACATGATGTGCATAATATCTGTAATTACTCATCTCTGTGGTTCATGACTATTAATTATTTAAGTTACCTATCAAATTGTTGATATAATATTATAATAAATATTATAATTGTATAATAATATTAATAATTAAGTTCATCAATTCGTTTTCGGTTCTAATCATCTAATCAATTTTATACACACTATATTATTATAAATACTATTATAAAGTATATTAGTTCTCTGCAGTAGGTAAATAGCATAATTAAAATGAATAAAACTGATTTATTAGGATAAATCATTAATGATGGAAAGGTTAGGATTAAAATGAATATATTTTAAAATTTTCCTTAATTATTATTATTTAAACCATTATGTTTACTTAGTATAGTATGGTTATAAGAGTTATTAATTATTATAATTGTATACAATTTAGGTGAATACCTACCTAATAATTATATTCAACGTTTCTATTAAATAACATTTTAATAAACCAAGTGATAAGAAACTATCACTATTAAGTGTATCTATATCTTTTAAATATATACGTATAGGAATCTATAGGCTACAACGACCTGAGTAAAGAAACCTTCTATTTACAGGTTACATGTAATTATCTACATTTTATATACCTATTACTTACTATAGCATATTATGAGAAACAAATTGAATAAACCATGTAATATGGAACATAAAAATACCTATATTATATTATATTATGTGAAAATACTATATCAACAGCTTATTATTTATTTTGACTTTTATATTATTATTTAATTAAATATTATTCTGTTTGCCTAGCTTTATTTCAATATTTCAAATACTTCCATAATATTATGATGTCTAAAATGTATTAATTAATCATATAAATATATAATATCATGATTATTTTTAATACTACATAATGATCACATAAAATTCAGCTTGCAATCATTTAAATATTCATAAAAAAAATCCATAATCGCGATCACTGCTTGTAAACTATAATTGACCTTATACACTATTATTAAGGTTAAATATATAGGTATATACATTATGGAATATAATTACTTAAAGTAGATAAATATACCCAAATAAGGTCTATGCTAGCAATCTACTTTCAATGTGAAACAGTTAACACAAGGATTTATGTCAATAGACGGTTGGTCCGATAAGCCACACAATATATTATGTATTGTCAAGCTAGTTTAATTACCGTTAGTACTTATCTATTACGCTAGAGAAATGGTTTAAGGTTTTAATTGTACATTTCTATTTTCTTACTTAAATTACATTACACCATTATGGACTTATGGTACGCGTGAATCTATTTAAAACGGTTAGTAATTTAATTTATTTATGCAATATAATAAATATTTATTTACCTATACATAATAATAAAACGTACAAATCAATGTCATATAGGTAGGTATTCATATATAACAGGTAGTTAAAATGTTTGTATATAGTTACCGTACATAGTGTATTAATCGAGTTGATCTATTTACATAGATTTATTAAAATCGCATATTTTTGTATAGATATAACCTATGTAATATCTATTCTAATTTTGAAGGGTTCCCAAAGATGCATAGCATAATATATTTATTTTAACAAATTTACGGATGTAGCTTTTATTTACAATGTATAAGTATAAGGATCGGGGTCGTATTGTAGTCTGGTGGTGCCCCAAGCGAATCACTGAATTAGCGACCCCTCCACCACCACCCCAAATGGGAAATTTGCAATTTTTTTTACAAAAAAATATCTGAGATAATATATAAAACATGTTTAAATACATAAAAATCTAGGTATTAATTAATAAATTTTAATAATTATTTGTATTTATAGTTTATACTATACTTTTAACGTTCCGTTTATTTCTTTCTCATACGGATAAACATTGATAAGCAACAACTAATAATTGTCATAATAAATTATAATCAAAATCAAAATTACTCGATATCATGTAAAATTAAATTTTTTTTTTTTTGTAATCTTAAGTTATTTTAAATGATGTGAAGTTTGGTAAATCGTATGTTATACTTTGTTAAGTATAACAAAATAATTAAACAAATTTAAATAAATATACATTTTTAAATATTACATAAGTGATATTAAGAATTGCATCCCTGGCCCATGCCCTTTTGCCTTGCTCTGAATACGGCCCTAATAAGGATAATGATATTAATATAACAATATTGGTACATAATATTATATTGTATATTACGATTATCAGTAGAAATATAGACAATGGATGACGTAATTCTGTCCGATCTGTTTAAAAATATTGCGAAAATTATTTCGGTCATAATAATCCAATAAATTAACTCGTCGCGAAAACATTTTTTACAATTTAACAATGGTTAACATATAATAATATGTATAGTATATTGTATGAAGATAATAAATTATACATTACATAGCCGAGGAAATAACGACAATTTTGGATAACTACCGAAAATTATATTACATTATGGGTTTGTGATGGTATCTACGCATGCACAAAAATATTGCACTGAGTAGTTTTTTTTTTTTTTTTTATCGAGCAGCAACACCTACAATTTCAAAATGTATTAACGTTTTAGAAAATATTAATTTTTTCATAATTTCCACTTTCCTGACCAAATAAAACAACAATTTTTAATATAATTTTAACGTTTTAATTTTTTTTTTTTACTTTTTCAATTACGACATGAATAATTCACATTTAGAGGTAGAATTCGAAATTCGGACTAGTAGGTTTCAAGTTATTGTTTTTTTTTTTTTTTTTTTTTTTTAACAAGGAAATTGATAACGACATGATACATTTGTTTTGACGTGTTATGTAAGTACGTATTTACTTATGACGTATCACGGCCCACGGGGGTTGAAAATACGAGAATGTTGGAATAATATGATCGAAATAATACGTCATAATCATGATTATTTTATTCAAACTGCTTACAACCGTGTCATAACAACTCAGCTTTCGGATACATTCGGATACATTTATAACTGCAGTTACTGGCCAAAAAGTAAAGTTCTATCCGTCAGAATATAGAAGGGTACCTATTACAGCTGGTACCTGAAAGACCTACAGGTTTCCGGCGGTGTACTCCAATAAGCCGTTCGTATTTTGTAGTTTATAACTATAAAACGGCTTAACATACGAATAACGTAATCGAATATAATGATAGTATGACGGTGCGCACGCGTTTGTCGGTAGGTACCTACATCTATTAAGGCGTGAGTGTGCGCGAACATGTGTACAAAATAAAATCGATATAATGCGCGTATCGAAAATGCCACGCAATAGGGTTTGCGCGACGGCCGTGGAGGAGAGCAGAAGTTTGAATAATGAAAACGCACGAATGGGGGAAAAAAAAAAAGGAAGGAAGGAAGGAAGGAAGAAAATAATCAGCATTGAGACGCCAGCGGAAGGGTGCTATAGCGCTATCTAGCCGGCGTATAAAATAGCGCCTCGCGAAGGATAAACGTATTTGGACGGAAAAAAGTTAATAATTTAGTCATAGACTAAAATAAGTCACGAACAATAATAATAATAATAATGATAATAATAGCAAATAATATTCGAATGGAACGACGTAAACATCGCGACCTCTCTCTGCAGTCGGTTTTCGGTCGATCGTTCGTCCGCGGTCAATACGAACGGCCGACATTGAGCAGGTACCTACCTACTTCATGCATATTTTGTACGTTCAATAGTAAACATGACGACGGTATAATCGGAACGATTAGAGTAATAATAATAATGTTATTTTTTCGACGTTTTCTAGCGGATACGGAGACTCAATACCGCCACGGGCGCGACAGTCCAAAATTCGCGTGACCCCGCCGCCACGCCCCACCGCTTGAGCGTTGGCCGTGCTATCTCTCGCGACATTATCGACTGAGACTTGAAAAAAATAACATTGAAACGTTAGCATTTCAGCGTGTGTTTTGTGGACGTTACAATATTATTATTACGAGCGCACGCAGGTACATCACGCCCCGACGTCCCACGCAACAATAATAACATCGTCTCGTGTGCACTATCAGCGCACGTAATTTTATTGATAACGTCGACGGCGACGCCGGTTATCTCTCCTTCTCGCCTCTATCGCTCATTCGCTCGCCATCGCGGTCGTACCGTTTCACGCAGGCAATAATAATAAATAATAATACGAAATAGGTATTGAAACGACGCCGAGCGACGTGTGGTTTTGCAGAGTTCGATTAATCGGCGAGACGGAGATCTGACCGTCGAGAAAAAAAAAATCCTAACCGTACGGCGGCGGCGGCGGTGTGTGTGTGTACGTTCATCGCTTAAAACGAGGACGCGCGCGCCGACCGGTGGTGACTAAACGTGCAGAGAGAGAGAGATAGAGTGAGCGACCGTGCGTGCGTGTGTGTGCGTGCGTGAGCTAGTGTGTGTGTTACTGTGTGTGTGTGTACGTGCTCGTGTTTGCCGTGTGGTCCGTAGCGTACGTTCCGCAGGCTTTTGAATAATTCACGTCGCTCGCACACCGTAGGCGGTACCCGCTTTTTTCCTTCTATCGACTTTTTCCCGCCCAAAAAACCCATCGGAATTCACATTTCGTTTTATCGGCCCATTATTATTCATCGCCGTCCACAGTGAGCTCAGGGTCCCGTCTCTGGCGCGAGGACTGCTCAGAGCGACGACGACGACGACGACGACTATACACCACCCGCCCACACGTCGCGAATACCGCTTTTCTCCGGAGACGCGATCGACCGCGTGATCCGATACGTGTTTTCGGGCAGCTCCTAACCGTCAATTCAGGGTTTCGCCGACACGAGATCGTCTCTATGTCGCTCTGCTCTCTCCGACGCCAACGTCATCAAAACCACTGAACCCAGTCGTGCCCAGGTGAACGAACGACAGTGGTCCGCTGAACATGTCTGTGGCCGTTTTGACTGCCATCGCGGTTTTCATCATCGTCGTGTTTCGCATGCTCAACGTGTCCAGCCAACCACAAAAGCCATCCTTCGTTTGCAGGGACAAACAGTTCCTCAACAGAGTCCTCAAATTCGCACCCCAACTCGATGAGCCGTAAGTATTATCTACCAATCAATCTCTTATCGTAATTTCCTCCGACATGTGTACCTGCCAATCTGTCTAATACGTCAGTTTATAGACACCTGCTGCAAAGATTACTCAATGTTTTTTCACTTTGACCCAGGTGGAGTTTATGTGCAAGTTCTGATATGAGTTGAAAATCTATCTAATTCTGTTTAAGTGTTATATTCTAGCTAAACATGATTTATATAGTTTAATTAGAAGCTGTTGATATTCACTGTCAACTTACCGTTTTTTGTTTTAAGTTCTTGCAATTGATGGATCAACTCTAATCCAACTGGTTGTCAGGTTATCTTTAATTAATTGTTACATCTATAAGCTCACTTAATTTATAAATCTAGACTTGATTTTGTTTAAACTAATAATTTAAAATAAATGTGTAATTTATGTTTGAAGTAAACTAGTGATTTTGGTATATCTAAGCATTTAGATATTATGATTAATTTACTAAAAAAATATTTTAAATTAAAACAATTTCAGGTACTAGTATTCTTTATGACCAGTATTTAATTATTATTCATCATTACAAGTATTGCTTATGTTTATAAATATAAAATACTAGGTACATAAAATATGATGAATAGCTTGTTACTAAATCTATCATAGACATTTTTCCATTTTGATCTAATTTCATTTTTCTTATCCTACCTATGTAATTATATATTAGATTAATTGATTTAAAAAACAAAAATGCATGAATTCTAATATGTAAATGCCTAAATTATTAAATATAATACAACTTAACCTTATATACTCACTTATATCTTATGATTTTAATCACAGTTATAATTTTTTAATAGTATCAATGATTAATAATATACCTAGGTATCTATTATAATAAAATACTTATATGTTAGACTATTTATCTCCATGTTACATTTCTAACACTTATGTCTAATTATTCATATGACCTCATATATTAATATAACCATATGTAATTATAATTTAAATATTAAAATGTTGAATATCTTATCTTTTTCCTAAGTATTCTTTCTTTTTAGTGAACATAATTAGTAATTATTGCACAATTAGTTGGTATTTATATATTTAGTAATAATAAATCATAATATATATTTAATTACTAGTCTGTAATTGGTTAATTTATTTTCCATTCATTTCTAATAATCCACAATAATATAATTTACATGTTTTAATTAAAATATCATTAAAATTGTTCAATATCATATCTGTGTAGTAGGTAGTCAAATATTGAGAAAAAGATTGTTAGTTTGATTAGATTGTATCTTGTCAAGAGAATTATTACAGCTTCTAATGAATTAAATAAATTCTATAGGTACATAAGTTTAACTATATTTTAATCGTATTTAAATTCAAATACATTTTTTTAAGTTGATTAAATGCTTTTGAAGCAATTAAAGGTTAATCAAGAGGTTAATTGATAAAAATTGAAGGTTACATAATACATTTTTTTTTCATATGCATTTTTTTGTTGTTTTCTTATTATTTTATATCTTATAAAAAGTGTTTATATTATTGGAATCTACATGATATAAAATGCAATTATATATATGAGAATTATCTCTTAACTACATTATTCTTTTAAAAAGCATTTGCTATAAAATCAGAATTCTACTTACAAACTATAATTAAGTAACACGTTTTTACAGTTAGTATGTTGAACACTTATTAGATAAGTTATTTAATAATTAAATAATTTTACTCAGTTGGGTAATCAAATAGTTATAATTATTAAGAATGATTATTTGCTCTATTATTTGTTTATTTTTCAATCTAGGAAATGAATTATTTTTAACTAAAATATTTTTATTTAATATTCATAAAAGTATGTAAAAGTAAAACATAAATTGATTAGATGATTGTCCAATATTTAATAGGTAAGAAATGGGTGTTTTTAATTTGTGTTGGTATTAAAAATGTTAGTCATTCTTTTAATATTTTATTAGTCATATCAATTTAAATGAGAATATAATAAGTGATGATGTAATTGAAAATTATATTATCAATGACTAAACTTTCGTATCTCCCTGTCTAAAATATTATGTACCTAACATAAAAAATAATAATAACTTACTTCAAATTTTCTTTTTGCTTGTGCTATGAAAAAAAAATTATCACTAAGCACCAATATTAGTACTATACAATTAGTTTAATTTAAATAAACATTTAAAAATAGTAATGATGTTTTATCATGTAATTAAGCAATTATTTAATATTGAATGAATTATTCATGTATTGTAAATATATTTAAAGTTAATAAAAATAAATATAGGTGTTAATATCGCACTTACAAGTTAAAATGTTTAATTATATTTTGTTTTTTAGTTATTAGGTGTAAAGTAACAAATATTAAATTAAAATAAGTTCTATACTTGTGAATAGCAATTATGTAGGTATGAATATTTAATATGATAGTTATTGAATTATGTAAACTCGAGTGTAAACTTTACAAATGTTTAAAATAAAATAACAATTGAAAAACACATGTCTTATGAATATCTATTTAACATATCATATTTAACATAACTATGTTACACATTAAACTGTATGTAATATTGTAACTTTAAATTGCGTATTATGTAAGTCAAAAACTGTTTAGATCAGGGCCAAGTAATCATTGTTTACACCAGAGAATAGGGATTATTTATTTTGGTTAAACAACACTTATACTTCTTATTTTATAAATATTTAAATAGGTACAAGAAATAAAAGACGATTTATTCCATGTTATAATATTCTTCTACAGAAATAAAGTTTATGTTTGTTCATAATTATAAAATAAGTTTTACCTGATAAAAGTTATTATTGAGTTCTTACATAAGAAAGGCATTTGTTCTAATCACCTTTGCTAACCTTTCATTCATTAAATAATTAGATAATAACTTTTCTGAGTATGATCCACTTTTTATCAAGTGTCTACCTAGTTAAATTTTCAACAATTTTAATTTAGTAGGTATTAGTAAGATCTAATTAAAATAATTTATAGAGTTATACTATTAAACTTATTCCTTTATTGTTTTTTAGATTTAAAGTCAAATTATACTATATTATTATCTTTTCATTTTTTATATGATTGATTCATATAATTTTATGAACAAATACTATTGAATTTATATTGATCAAAAATTAAATATTTAATAATTTAAACTAAGTTTAAAGTTTTGACAATTACATATTTACTAATATTTTAATATATAATAGGGTACATGTAATAATATTAGTATAACAATACTTACATTTCAAAAAACACGTCAAGTATTTGTTTTTAATTTTTTATAAGAATTTTTTGTTTGATTAAATTATGATTTTGTATCAAATATATTTTAATATTTAACAATATTTATTTATTCAACTGGCACAGTTATTTAAATAGGTACCTAATATGATCAAAGTGGTTATTATTTTTTTTTTTTTTTTATGTAAAGCTTTACAAAATAATTAATGTTTTGTCTATTTTTTTTTTATAAAGATTAATATCTTGATGTGGTGAACATAATCAAGAGCCAAACAAAATGCATTATTTGAGTGATTGTTTCAATTAATGGTAATTCCATATTAAAGCGCAGAAAGAAACAAATGAATCTTATATCTGTAATAAAGTATCTAATTAATCATGTTGAAATTTATTGTTAATACATTTGAATTGGGTTAATATATATATATGTATATACATGTGTGTGCAATAATAAATGAATTTCTCATTAAATAATTAATTGATAGTACTCATAAATCATGATTTGTTTTTATGTTTTCATTTTGTGTTTGTAGTTAGGTATTTACATTTTTTTTTTTTTAATTGTTGATTTATGCTTATGTATTATTCTCTTCTCATGTTGATATTGTAATATAAACTTATAATATTATTAAACAATTATTAATTTATTTTTAGATATGTACCAACTAGATTGTGGGGATTCAGTGGTCATGTTCAAACTATTTTGTACAGTGTTTTTGGTAGAGTAAGGTGTCCATGCCCCAAAGGAGACAGGAGATTCTTAAATCTCGATGATGGAACTACTTTAACATATGATCTGTTTAAGCCAACTGTTAATGAACCAGAGCTAGGTGCTTGATTTTTTTTTATTAAAATATTGCATTAAATTTTTTATAGCTAAAATTAAAATATTTTCTTAATTATTTTTAGAGGACATAACTGTAGTCATAGTTCCTGGAATTTGCAATTCTTCAGAAAGTGATTATATTCGAACATTTGTTAATTACACTCAAAATCAAGGCTATAGATGTGCAGTTCTTAATCATGTTGGAGCTTTGCATAATGTACCTGTTACCGCTTCTAGAATATTTACATATGGTAAAAATATTTTAATATTGATAATTATTTAAAAAATAATAATGAATATATTGATGCAGTAAAAATTAAAATTGTGTCTTATTATTTATGATTAAAAAAATGTAATTTTAATGTTTGAAAAAACAAAACTCAAACTATAAATAATAAAAATAATACAACACAATATATAGATTCTGTTTTTTGTTTTTATTTATGTTAAATAATAATATCAATATATTTCGCTTATAGTATATATACTTTATCCATCACTATATAATAAGTAAAAAACTTATGCTTTTAGTACAATTTCAATGCAAATTACCTAAGTTGTATTCAAATAAATTAAAAATAATATTAATTTATAGGTCACACAGATGATCTTCATGTAATGCTTTGCAATTTATCTGAGCATTATCCTAATACTAAAATTATAGTTATTGGATATAGTATGGGTGGTAACCTAGTTACTAAATACCTTGGAGAATCTCGTCATAATAGACCAAGTAGTGTTATCGCTGGAGTATCTATATGTCAACCATATGATGCATTAAAGTAAGAAAAATGTTATATAAATTATAATTATTTATTTATTTTATTTTAATCTTTAGTATTTAATGATTATTTAAATTGTATACATACTATTTAGCTTTATTTTAATTTTATTTTTTTTGGACACAATAATATTAATGTTAAATAATATTATTAGAATATCTTTATTTATTAAATTGATTAATTTAAAGTTAAGGTTTAGATTTTACTGTTATATGTTTAAAATAGTGCATGTGTATTGGATAATATATAAAACAAAAATTAAAAAAAAAAATCTATAATGTGTATTAATTATTTAGGGCTACTGGTGTTTTATTACATTGGCAAAACTTTCGAAGACTTTATTTGTATGCATTAACAGAAGCAATAAAAGCTTTAATCTTGAAACATAGAAGTAAACTATTGGCAGACGATATTAAAGAACAATATTCATTAATTGAAAAAGATATAATATCTGCTGCTACGTTACCAGAACTTGATGATGCTTATACCAGGTAAAATACTATGTATATCTATGGAATAATTTATGTTATGTATATTTTATTTGATGTTGTAATTTATATCGTAATTATTTATTTACCTATTAAGTAATATTATTGTTTTTAAATATTAAAAAAAATGTGTAATATTAACAAAATGTACAATAGAGTAAAATTGAATACAAAACAACCAATAATGCTAATTCAAATAAACATTACTCAAAAATGAAGTAAAACATTTTATCGGCTAAATTTGTGATAATACTTAATAACATTAATTAAATCAAAATTGTATTTATAACTTCTAGTAGTCAATTATTTTAATGCTTATATTAACTTTATAAAATTAATTGTTGTCATGGTATGTTTTAATTCAGGTTAAATGAATAGTATTTTCAATAATAAGTTTAAAAACACCAGGAAATAAGACTAAAAAATCAAATCAAAAACAATCCAACTCTTACATTTTTGCAACAATTCTTGAATAATATCATGTATACAATACAATTAAAAATAAATAAAAATTTTCAATCATAATTAACATACTATTAGATATTGAGAACTATTCAATATTTAAATACTTTTGGATTATAATTAATAATTAATATACATTACTATGATTTATATCAATTTAAACCAAAACATATCACATTCGTTTGTGTTTTTAATATTTTACTGTGACTTATTTAAAATAATTGACAATGTCCAAAACTATCTACAGTTTTTATTTCAACATTTTTTTTTTTTAGTTTTATTACAGTGAAACCCGTATATAACAGATAGTTCACAGGACTAACAACAGTGCCTGTTGTAGACATGCATTAGTAATTTATTTAATCAAACTATCTACTATATATGTGATGAAAATATTATATTTTTATGAAAAAAAAAAAAAAATAATAATAAATAATAACAGTTAATGTGAATATATATATATAAGTACAAACAAACATAATCTAGACATAATTATAAATATATGCAATTGGTGTTATTTTTATCGATGATACAAAAGGTATGTATTAAATCTGTGCCTTGACAAGTAACCGTGTATTTTATTGTTGGAATTAGCAACATTATTATGTAATATGTACATACATATACATTTATATTTGTTAAACTTAGTTTTATATATGTCGTCATAGTATTAGAGAAAAATATTATTGTCCATGTTCATTATAAAAAGAGTTCTTTATTGACTAGTCAAAATTATGAACATAAATTATTTTAGTTCATAGTTTAAATATGTTGTAATTACTTCCTATCTTGACTTTCATTTTGTTTGCTAGGAAAGGCGTCTGTTGTATACTGGTATTTGTTAAGTCAGGTTTCACTGTATTTTCAAATAATTAAAATTATTTGTATGACATACTATACATTCATTGCCTTTGCACATTTAAACACCATAATTATTTTGTTTTATTAGTTTGATATACTTATTTAGGGTAACATAACAATTATAGTGTATATATTATGAATATTTTTATTTTTTTGTACATATATTTTAAAATAAATTGAAAAGATCTGAGAGAAAGTATTGGAATAATTAGAGCCAAACTAATCATAGATTTTTATTTAAGATTTAATCTTGATTTGATATTAAGTATTATTTCAGTTCAATAGATAATAAATTTCATTAATATATTTTTATAGGAAAGTCAATAATTTTAAAAACCTTCATGAGTTTTACCGATGGTCAAGTTGCTTGCATTACATAAACAATGTAAAAACACCAATGATATTTATTAATTCAAGAGATGATCCATTGGTGCCAGAAGATTTATTAATACCTATTCAAAATTTTGCAAGTGAGATAATAATTTATTTTTATTAAATAATATCTAATCTATAATTTCTATTGTTATTATTTTTTTATTGTTTTAAAATATTTAATATACTTATATTATTTTTTTTTTTAAATTAAAAATCTATTTGTTTAAATGTAAATTATTTAATTAAATAAACAGTTAAATACTAACCATATTTATACAATATTATATCATGCAATATATTGATATTATTTAAATTGTGAATTACAAAAAACAAAGTATTTATTGGTAATAATATTTAAAGGTATACACCAATATATTATCAATAAATACTAATATTAATTAATTATCATGTAGTTGTTTACTCAGTAATTTATATATTACAGAACATAAACATTTTTGAATCTAAAAAAAATTTGACCTTTAAAAATAACTAGTTATTTTTTTGTTTTTAATATATTAAATTAGATTATTTTATACATTGAATTCAATTTGTTAAGTTTTAACGTTATCATAATATATTATAATCAACTAATTTAATTAGAATGTTAATAATTAAACTTAATAATAAAATAAAGTAACTTAATAAGTTCTTTAACTTTCTAACCAGGGGCGGTACTGCAAACTATGTAACTGCATAGGGCGGAAAATTGTATAGAATATTCATTTTGTTTTTATGTTATTTTTATTGTTACACAATTTTTAATTTATTTTACCATTTCAAAATTTGGAACAGTGTATTTTGATTTTGTATTCGTTTATTTTTAGTAAATTAATATTTATTTTTTTTCCCAGGAACTCATCGATGACGATGATGGTTGTGTTTTATTTTAGTTTATCTAATTGTTTATAGAGAATAGATTTATATCTATATAACACTTTACTTTATATAAACATTTAATTCTTAGAGATCGTAATTAGTACGGGTTCACCACATTTACTATATTATTACAGCGTTAATATGACAATTCAATTCTGAGGTTTATCTGTTTATTATTGTATTAGTTGATAGTGGACCATCTGCCAATATGGTATATATACGCATAAATTATTGATTTTATAAAGTTTTTCTTGTTTATTTTTTAAAAATAAATAGCAGATATTATATTATTTATTTTGAATTAAAACGTTTTCTTTTTAAAATTAACTTGGATGAAAAAATAATTGTATATTATAAATTTATAAAGAAATAAATTTATTTAAGAATATGTATCTAGTAATTTGACTTTGAAGTCATTTAATTTTTAAGATAGGGGCAGTGAATTAAATTTGGTATAGGAGTGGACAATACTATTAAAGACGCTCTTAAATCTAACCAATTAGTGTCTAGTTTTGTATTTGCAATTGTTCTAATACCATCTAATTTTTGTTAAAAAAATTTTAACTACAACATTTTTAAATAAAAACCAAATTTCTAAATACAAGTAATATAATATATAAATTTATAATTAGATATTTTTTAGATAGTTTGTATGTCTTTAAGAAAAAAAAAACTATTGTACTATTAATATTCTTTTAAGTTACATTATTAATGAAACATAAAGTGGTTATTTTATTTGCTTGTATTGGCTGTCTTATAAAGTTAAATTTGTTCTGTATTTTTGGAAGTTGTAACTCAAGATTATGTAATTTTTAGCTCAATTGTATCTATAAAATAGTATAGTTATTTCATAAATGTTTTATTGTCATTGCAATTCTAAAACAAATTCTGTCTTGTTTATACACAGCTCTATTACATTTAAATTCATACTAATATATTATTGTGATAGTATTTTAATTAACATTTTATATTTACACATGTTTTAGAATCAAAAGATAATATATTGTACATGGAACTGATGCATGGTGGTCATCTTGGATTTTTCGAAGGCGGATTCTTGTATCCTAACCCTATAGCATGGTTGGATCGAACTTTAGTTTCATTATTGCCAGCTCTCAGAGAACATTATGTTGATGACATGAAAAAAACAACAGCAGTTTACTGATTTTATCCACTTTTAATTAAATACAAGTGTGTGTATGCATTTATATATATGTTTATATATCATGCTGTAAATGAAATTTTTATCATAATTTATTACACTACTATTAATATGATATCTGATCTGTTATAGAATAGATTAGATAGTATAAGTTGATTCAAGGTATTATGTTTTTGAGCATAAATTCTTAATTTTCATATAGAACTACTTAAAATAAGCAAAAGTAGTGCAATAAACCCTAATATTTATTTAGCTTGTTTTTAAAGTATAACTATTTATTTTTATTAATTATATAAAAACATCATTGTGAGTTATAACCTATATTTCATTTAAATTCTTCGTATAATATTTCTATAACTTGAATTTTAACTATCACAATATACTGTAGCTTAATATTCTTTATGATTTTCCTTAATTTTTTTTTTTATTTTATATGATTTTAATGCTTTGAGTTGCACACATTAAAACTTTTTATTAACTCATTCTATAAACATAATAACAATTTTATGTCCTGACCAATGTATTGATTTAACATAAAATACATTAAGTAGTGTACTACAAATTATTACTTAACCCTTGTACATATTATATTTATATAATATATTCCTATGAAAATTTCAAATAACATTCTATGTTTAAAATTAAACTAATGGACTTCTTGCTGATAATCAACTTTTTTTCGGACATTAATATATAATTATTTCTTACTTTTTTTTTTTTATTCCAGAGAATAAGAATTTTTTTTTATTAAATCTGATAATTATTTACTGATACCGGCATTATTTAAAAAAAAAAAAAAAAATATGTATATCTTTTATAATTATAAATTTTGTCAGTGATATAAATGGATTTTATTTCAGCATTAACAATGAAAATATGAGTATAATTTGTTATTTTAAATTTAATTGGATTTTTTTTTTTTTTCATTAAATATATATTGACTATGTCAATTTATAAAAAAAGACAATAATTAGGTATGCTGTTTATTTATTTTTATTATTATTTTATATTCTTTAACTATTATTATTTTCATTTTATAATTTAGTTTATTTTGTTCAAAATACTTATAAAAATATTATTTAGTTATTGTTTTTTTTTTTTTTTTTTAAATGTTTTATTAAATATGTATTATGTTCTTTAATATTAAATTATAATTTTTTCACTTTTTTATTAATTTAAATTTATTTTGTTCCACTTTAAAAAGAAATGAGAGTTTTTTTTTTAAATCTAATGTGGCTTTTGATCATAAAATTATTTATTTTTATTCTAATGACTAATTGTTATGCAATGGATTATTGAATATTAGTTCAACAAATAATTTTGTCTAATTTTCAAACTATTGTGTAATTTGACATTTTATCTCGTATGTTTAATGTTTTCATTTAATATTTACTTAACATACACTTAATTTATTCATTCCAACACAATTATATGGTTTCTCTTATCAAAGTTCCTTGGTTAATTTTTATTTGTATTTTTTTTTTAATTCACACTCATTTTCACTTGTATAACGGACACCATCACCAATAATTTAAAATGTATTTTCTTCATTAAAACACAGTATTGTGTCTTTTTATCTTTTCTAAATATATATTATTTATTACATTTCAATAAAATATTTTTATCAACTGAAATTACTTAAAAATGTCATCTAATTATTTTACTGTTTTTGTGTTATGTTTTGTTTTTAAATTTGTACCTAACATGACACATTGAATATGATATAATATTGTAGAACTAGTGTATGAAGAGCTCAACTTAAATATAACTAATTATGATTTTAGCAAGCCTGATTTGTTACCACTTTTTTAATTTATAAACACAGTTTATTGGTTAATTATTTTTCAATAATATCTTGACAAATGTTAATAAAATTAAATTTGTATAACTGTACACATTAGGTTATTAATACATATATGATATATTTATGTATATTTTATTTTGTATTTATTTGTTTTATTTTAAAGAAAGCTTATTTATTATTTATTTTAAGTTATTTATATGACTGTACATGCAACTTATTATTTATACATAAGTACAGGGTACCTTAGAAAGCTAAAAAACTTTTTGAATGTAAAAATGATTAAATGCTTTGGACTATTCTAAAAACCCTGTATGTATAATTAAAATATTAAAAAAAATCTTTGTTTAAATATATCTAATTTTACTGTGTACTTATGTAAATATTTCTTAATTTTTTTAATCAAATTTAAATGATTATAATATCTTTCCAAAATGTATGGATTCAGTATTGAAATATTCCTAATTAAAGCTATTCAATCATACAAAAAAAAAAAAAACAAATAAATTATGTACAAAACCAATGTAATAATATTAAACTACCCAGTTAAAATCAAATACATTTGTTTATAATTTGGTCTGATATAACAGGCTTTTATAATATTGTTATTGTAATGATAAAAAAAATAAATACTTTCTGCACACATCACCGATTTAAAGGGTATTAAAATATAATTTTTAGGTATCTAAATATTAGTTTTTAATAGTTGATAATACCTAAACTAATAACTCATGCATTATAAGCTACTAAATATCATAAGTGGGCATACTTGTATCATTTACATCTTTGTTGGCGATCTAGTGATTTGTTGATTGCAATCATTAACTATGTCAAACATAGAATTAAGTTATCACTAGAGCATATGTTTTCATGCACTAAAAATCATAGAAATATCCAAGAAATTTTTTTTTTATTTAAAATTCACAAATTAAATAATTTATAATAATTAATTACTTAAGTACTTGATAAAAAAAATGTTAAGTTAAATATGCAATATATTTTAAATTTTGTAAAAATATCCGATAACTATTAAATTTATAGAATTATGCAAATAAGAATTTACCATTTGATTCAAATTATTATGATTCGTGAAGACAACTGACAAAAATCCAAAAAAGTGAAAAGGAAAAAATATGCGATTGCATAGTAATCCGCGCTCTGGTTACCATTAACTTTTATAATAATAGGCAACTATTTGACGTATTATAATATAATATACTAATCATTGACTTTTTTATTATGTCCATGGCCTATGATCAACCAACATGTCGATGATATTTTTTACAAGGTTTTTGATAATAATTGATAAAATAATTAAACGCTGGTCATTTTAATTAAATTGATGTAAAAATTATTCATAAATGTGAAGTAGGTGCTGCAAAATGATGTTTTCACTCTGCAATCTACTGTTCGTTTCTAGGGACTGATATATCATTGACGACACCGTAATCAATTTTTATTATTAATTATTATTGTAACCATTTTAAGTATTCATATCCCATAAGTTTCATTAGGATTAAAGTTGGGAAAATCGTAGCTTAGTTCTTGGGCGTTAAATATTTTCTTAATTATTTTGGACACAAATATTATGGCTATTTACCTAGGTAAATGTATGTATTTTTTTTTTTTTTAATATACATTAGCAGATGATCAGATAAGTATCAAATCAAATCAAAGTAGGTAGGTAGATAGATTGTGTAATTATTATAACTGAAGATAAAACGAATAAATTTCAATAATGAGTTTCAACTTAAAATACTTGATTACTTAATAAATTTTGAACATTCTTTGTTGGGTATACATGTCATAGTATCTACGTATATTGTAGGTAATAGTGGTAATACATGGTAATTATTAGGTACTTCTGTAACTATTGTATTTACGTATAAAAAAAACCTAAATGAGATATTCAGATCTTAAGAAGTATCTAATTTCAACAACTGTAGAATTTATTTGTTAAAACCTTAAAAGCAACAAATTTTCTAAATACATGCATTTGCTAAACAATTTTGACGACACATACTTATTTTAAGTAATATTTTTATACAGGAAATTGTTCAATTTACGTGTACTTTTTATTAATAAATCACGTGCTCTGTTATATTTTACGCTGTAGTACTGTACCCATAGTTTTAGTTAGATGGGTAGAACCACTAGAACCTATTCAAAACCTACAAACTATAATTTGTTTTATTTTTTGCGCGTCTTTATTCTGTGTTTCAAATTATTAGAACACTACCTATTTTACACCAAACAATTCGAAAGCTAATTGTTAAATAGGTACATAAATATCTCTAAAATATTAATTTAAATTAATTAAATACCTTATACGAGAAATACTATATAAAATTACAATCATTTTATTACTAATATAATTATTATAATACTATTATACTACAGTAATTACCATAATATGCATGTTTATGTACGACTTGTCCGTCTGTGTGTGAAGAAGTTTTTGTTAGAATATTTTCTATGTGTACGTAGTAATGGAAATATGAAATGTGTGACCGCGAGCGAAGCAATATTAGAGTATAAGGTATTGTTAATCCGAACATGGGCTAATCCGAAAGACGCGGTAATCCTCAACGGGCTTGAGAATTATCTTGTCGCTATACTTGGTGACACGTTTTCCCGTAGACCCACGTAATAATAATAATAATAATATATAATACATTGCACGTTTACATCGCTTAGATATGATTAAATACGTCGATTACGTTCGTGAATTTATGTTATATTATATATTAATCTTTCACATTGAAAAATCTTAGTTCGTACCTGGTGTAATCAAGAATAATTTTATTCAAGCGGGAAATCGCTGAATCAAGTTTTTATCTTATATTTCAGTAAACAATGTACGATGATTTCAAACCGCAGTTCTTAAACCTTCAACAATAATTAATTACTGACTTTAACGGTTCAAGTTGAAATATAAAGTCATTTTTACAGTAGATATAGATAGTGTAGAAGAAGAAGAAGTAATCATCAAGATTTTCAAGCTGTTAGAATTCATAAAGGTCTCAAGGTCAAAATTGTAATCGTTAATTTAAAGTCAAGGAAGAGATGGATTCGATGAAGTATATTTTTGTGTGAAATGAGATAGAAGATTTGGAAAATTTTAGGGTAACAGTTTTTAGGTAACATTTTTTCACTTATCAGACATGTTGATTGATGAGTAATAATATGTAGGTATAAGAACAGTGGTTGAATGCAAATGCAATCGAATACACTTCAATTTACTTCGACAAGACAGATATTAGAGCCACATAGGGTGACGAAAAATTAAGTTTGATACAGTTGACAATTCAGTGAATTAGAACTGGCAAACTGGTACAAATAAGGAGAGTGGCAGTTATTTAAGTACCAAATCACGTTAATAGTATTACGTTAAAAGTAGCATTTAAAAAGGAGAAACGTAAAATAAATTGTTTATCGTCAAACACTTATTGTGATTTATAAACTTGGTTGAATACCTATATAAGAATATTATTGTGATCATTGACAAAAAAAAAAAAAAATTGTTCATATTATGTTTTGTCAAGGTTGCGATATTTTTACTAGCACTCTAAAGTTTAGCCATATTTATTCAGAAAAAAAACTACTATAAGACATAACTGTTTATCTGTATACAAGTACTTACCCATATATTGTATTTTTTCAAGACGATAATGATAAAACATATATGTACCAATCTTCGAATTTGATTTGAAAGAATAATTTTCTGGTGAAAACAGCTGTATACTGCGTGGCTATTTAAACGACGGACTTAAAAAATATATTAACTCGTTCACGTAGACGTCTGAAAAATTCAACAGACTAATAAGATGAAATAGTTTCATGTATATACGTAATATAATAATTATTCGTACGTTTATCGGGTAGAGCGAAATCCTTCTATCCCCAAATTCGACGCGATTATCAATTCGTTGTATTTCCATTGTTTTCAAAAACTACCTACTGGACCAATCTTTACGAAAAATGAAATATTATATATATTAGTTGAAAGACGGATAGATTAAGTTTGGGTAATTTTGGTTTGAGTGGAGGTGGCTTAAATATGTTTTCAGCCGAAAAACAGACATGACGAGGTGATTTCACACAAATGTAACAATTAATTATATTTTTTCCTAGGCTATTGTTCCGAGAACCTATAGACCGACGTTACAATAAATTACGTGCATGGTTTGTTCAAATATAATATTATGTGTATTTACAATTTGTTTGGGGTGATATCATACAGTGCCTTAGATATGTTTTTAGCGTTTGCTATTTTTCGGAATTTGGTTATTCTTGTAGGGTTCGTAGTGGCTCGTTAATTGGTTATCAGAAGATTTAGTTCGTCACGTGAGTCTACTAGACGATCGGTTGCCGTTATCGATAATCATTTTATTATTTATAATTAGATCAATATAAGACGATTATTAATCTTGTCTGCAGTCGAATCGGTCGTCTGAGTAATAGTCCGGTGGCTGGTTAAGCACCTTGATCAAAGTCTTTTGGCCGTCAGCCACCGGGTATTATACACCGGGGATCGGACTTAGCGTCTGTAGTATGAACGGGTGGATGTGTAGGCAACTGACAACATAAAGTTCTTGCAGTGCCGTTCTAAAAGCTGTTACTAATTGGAAGAAGTAAATTGAAGTGAAATCTCCAAACACAGTGCACCAGTAGGTATATCAGACAGTGATCTGCACCGCCGTTAGAATAGGCAGTGAAAACCGTTTTGTCTATAATGTGCAACGGTGTGGTTCGCTCGTCTCGCGAGTATTTTTTTGTCAAATAGATTTTGATCCTGGGTATTTGGGTATTGGTTTTTAGTACAAATGCGGTGTTTACCGTTGTATCGTGTATACTGTGGGGAATTGGTGGTTAGGTTGGAATTAGGTATAGAAATATTCTATAGTATCAAGTGGGTTAAATGAAATTGGCTTTGTCTGGACACACCGAACAGTAGCCATGGTGGGACACACTGATTAGAAATAAATTAAATTATTACCGTTATTTCTCTCCAATACGCCTTTGGTGGTTATATATGCTGTTAGTGTGATCTTATTGGTCACCCAAAATACGTAACTTGCTGACAAAATTTATTATATCACTTCAATCACTTACAGTTTCTATGTAAATCGACTGGATTGATGAATTACTACAAGTAATTATATATTATTTTAAATGAGTGAAACTTTATCTATACTCTTTCTGATAGCCCAAAAATACATATTTTAAATTTCATTGAAATTGATTCAATAGTTAAGGAGGAGAAAATATATTGGAGTTCTGGTCTAGGGATCGAAGTACCGGCTTCGCTCCATTTCAATGGATTCAATTGTAATATTATAGTAAACTAAATATGAATTAAATCTGTAATTTTTGATTATTGATTAATTTGAGGTACAGTGATATAACAATCTAAAAACATTTGAATTTTAAAATATCATGCAACGTACATTTAAGAAATTAAAAATAATTTTATATAATATGTTAAAGCTTATGTTTTAATTAAATATTTTAATTAAATATTAAGTTTTTTGATAATAACATAAATACTTTTTCATAATCCAGAGTCAATTTTTTATTGAAATGTGATCCGTGAGCTCTACATTATCTACATTAACTTGAAACTTAAAAGTGACTTCTGACTTATTAACAGTGATTATTCGAGAGAAGAGTTTCTGAGAGTACTTAATGTTTAACTTTATATCGTTAAACATTTGAATCACCAACAGTAATATTTTATTGCGTATTAATATTTTAAAGTTAAATTTAACATTGTTTCCAACGTGACCTAATAAGTCTTTTATTAATAAACAATAAAATACTGAAACATATTTTAATAGTTTATTCATAAATATTATTTTAAATTACAAATAAAATTAATTTTTAAAATTATATTTAAAATGTGTTCGATACAAAAGGAGAAATGTTGTACGGTGTCAGCGTGTGATCTAAATACTTCGATTAACACACAAGAAGAACCACCGAAAGATCTTACTAAAAAAGTAGATTGTGATAAGCAGAATGCCGCAACTGAAAATGGACAATATTACAAATGTTGTACTTTATCGCCCGTTGCACCGACTCCTTTGATCAATGTCGATTGTTGTGAAAAAGCGAAACCTTGTGTTAGTCATTTTTGTACTGCAGTAAAAGGCGAATGTAATAATTATGAATTGACACCGTACGGAAAAGACTTCGTTTGTAAAACAGGAAGATTAGTAAGTAAACATTAAAGAAAAAAATTGATTTTTTTCTATAAAACGTAGATGCGTTAAAAATAAATCAAAATGACTCATTCTTAAAAATTATAATTAAGAAATTAATTATATCAAATATGTTAAAATTTTATCGACTATAACAAATAGACTTTAACTTTGTCATTACTTATTTATTTCAGACAGAAATATGATATTAATTCAATATTAATGAATATTAACAATAATGTTTGAAAAATTAATTTTTTTCATTAGATATTAGAAAAGCTTGTAATTTTATAGCTAATTTTTTGCCAGAATGTTCACGTTATAAATTAGATTACATAATATACTACTATATTAATTATATATATGTATAATATAGTTATATGCACATATTGTGTATTTGTATACAAATAATAAGCACCTATAATACTTTGGATTTTTTTTTAATATTTAAATATACATAATTTTCAATCGTATAAAATACTATTGATTACATACAATACAAGGCGAGATCTTACAAAAAAATAAGATATAGCACACATTATTATATAACTCGATAATATAGAAACGTAATTTTATTTCAGATTCAAAAATGTTTATGTGTTAAGTTCAATGGCTTGCAAGATACATGTAAACATTTTGGTTGCTGCACTAAAATAGGTTGCATGAAACCTCTTTTCCCGAATTGCCTACCGGCGCGTCAATGGAAAAATGATTATATCTGCAAAAAGAAGAAAACCGTTCGATGCTGTATAGATGAATAAATAAAATAAATTACAATTGTGATCATATATTATTAAAAACATTTACAAGTAGTACAACAAAAAATAGTACTTGGGCAATATTTTACCGATTTTAGCTATAAGCTAGAGCAATGGTTCTCAACCTTTTTATACACACGGCGCATTTATTATAATTATACAGTTTGACGAAATAGAATAGAAATAAAATGACAAGAAGCAAACAAAAAAAGACATTTTTATTTTGCTTAAAATTTTTTATGTTAACATATTATATAATTAAAAATTAATATCTAATAACACTACGCATTTTCCACGGTCATCGCAGCACACCTATACAGCCACTTCGCGACATACTTGTGTGCCGCGAAACACCGATTGAGAAACACCGGGCTAAAGACTATGGTAGAGACCTAGTAAATATTCATGAAGCATTTTCAATAATAGTTGTCTTGTCTATTGGTCAATCCTTAAACCATTCTGATGTAGTAACAAGTAGGTGTGGGTTATTAGCGGAAGCTTACGTTATGTATTATATAATGTCTGTACTATGTATTGTGTATTAATGTATACTGTACAAGTATTGTAATCTAGATTTGATGTATTGGATTCATTTATTCGATTTAAGCGAATTTTGTCTATGATATAAAATTCTATTTATGTATCATGTAAATATGAATCTTTTTATTTGGACTTCACGTAATCAAAAACAAATGATCTGTTTTTAATAAAAATTATTTCAATAGATTCCACATCACTCGAGGGGATTGCTTATGGTTTATTTTTCCTGCTTATATTTAGTTTGAATTTAGGGTAGGTTCACGAAATTCGATTACATTTTTGCTTATTTAAATGATTGTCATTGGTTGCAAATTTTTATGCTATTAAATTGAGTAAAAATATAGAACATAAAAATGTTTACAAATTAATAAATTTAAAATCAAAAATGTATGGTTTATGAGTTATGAAGAACACAATTATTCCAGTGATAATTATTGTGATTTGCAATCATAATTTTTTTTTATTAATTCTGTACATATTATTAATATAAAGACATAACCATAATGATATTACATTTACGTCGGCTTTTAAACATTAGTTAAATTTTTCCAGTATTTAAAAAAAAAAATTGTCCAGAAATCAGCAGCGGAAAATCATAAAATGAATTATTGTGATTTTGTTTGTATAATTGTATTATATATTTAAATTGAAGTAAAACGAAAAACAATAGAAAGATAGATTAATGTTTGCCCCGACGAATCGGACAATATAGTTAAAAAAAGGGCATACAAATATGCATACGTTTATTTGTATTATACACTTAATATTAGATTAGACATTACAACGTGGCTTTTGCCTTTCCTTAAAAAGCCATATATACTTGTATTTCATAGTACTATATTACACTACCTAACTACCTATGCAAACACTATTTGAACATAAAACTGACAGTTTCAAGATACATCAGCAGATTTAGATTGTTAATTTGTTTTATATTTATTAGCGATAAGCAATAACCATTAATATGGTTTTAATGAGATCATAAGAATAATTTAGGTTTTATTGGATATATTATTAACAATATTAGATAACCGTTAAATTTATGATGTGTTGTTTACTGAATAGTAGATTGTTATTTGTTAAGTATACGTATAAAATAAAATTATAACGTATTATCAATTTGTTAATTAAATAAGTTAATTTAAACTTATTAACTTGACTTTAACTTAACTCATTTGACTGTACTTCAACTAAAATCTAATTTAAAATTGTTTTAATATTCCCAATCAAGTTAAATTAACTATTTATTAGTTATCCAACGCTGGACTGGACCATCAGTAAATATCTTGCATTATGCGTTGTCCATCAATTATATGACGGCGACGATAGAGATCTTGGATACACATTGGACAAGGAACGTTTCATGGAAAATAATAGTATTGGAAATGACGACAAGAAATTGTCGCCATAGCAACATCCGGAATGAATGATATATGATATTATTAGATACAAAATCATGATAAAAATAACAAAAACTACATCGGACAATCGTCAACAGTGTAAATACGACAGTTCATCACGATCAAAACTCAATAAAATCTATTTTCTATATTTTTCGTTTGTAAATAGATATTTTAGTGAGAAATAAAATCAAGTTACTACCATATTTTGCCGTAGAATAAAATTGAAGAGAGAGTCAACTGAAGTCTAGTGTTCCTTTTAAAACAATTACATAATCGATGACATTATTATTAATATAATAATTATTAATAATATTAAGATCTCGACGTGTTGCATGCTGAGGTATAGATATGAATGATAATACTTATGAACGACCGACTACCATTTCAGTCTCGTTTAATTTCATTATTTTTTGTCCCACTAAATTTCTGTCCGTAGTAATTGATTGTTTTAAATGTTTTCTAAAAAATATGTGAAAATAACGTCAATCTAAATTAATTATTAAACACTAGTCCAAATAAAATAAACGCATCGTTTTGAAATATTATTAAAACGTTTCTTTAATTGTGTATATTATCATTACTTGTACCTATTCTAATAGAATCTATAATTACACACTAGTTGAAATTAATAAATAATAGACTTTTATAATATAATAATAGAAAATAAAATTAATATTAAAAATAATATTAAAACAGTAATAAAATTAGTTGCTACTTATGTATCATTTTTCAAATAATAAAAATAAACTGACCAAACATTCAAAATACAATGAAATATATAACTTACATTTATAGACATCTACACAAATCACAATACATAATAATAATATTATGATGCATTTGGACTAATTTCACGTTTTATTTATATTTATTTTTAAAATTATATTATAATATATAAATTAAAGTCATTTTATAAACTTTGAGTTATAATAACACTATCTTACAAATATATTATTTTTACAACACATAATATTTTAAACACCTTACAATATAATGTACTGCAATATTATTACACACGTGACGATAAAATAAGTAATAATCAATATTGGCTAACGAAAAGTTGAAAAATATATTCAAAATCTAAAGGGTGTAATATTATATGCATGTAATGATAATATTTTCTAATGACTCACTTAACGCAAAAAAAAAAATATCTACGATTTGTCAGATGCGAATAGCTATTTGAATGTGATGTAATAATTTAATACGAAATTTTCGGTTTAGCTCTGTAAAACAATTTAGAACTATTTATTTTAGAGGTTAATCGAATGATAAAAAGAAATCGTCGAAATAGGTACGTCTTAATATTAAATTGAATAAGGTGCATTAATTTTAGTCGTCTTGTCTTTAACACATAATCTTTAAGCAGTTTAATTTAAGGTAAAAATAATATGTTTAAACCAAAACTATAAACGGAAACGCTGCGGTTAATGTTAAAATATGAATAATAAATATTATTGTTTAAGCTGAAAACATAATTTAATAGGATTTTGAAATATTTTGTGTCCTAACTTAACAGTTTATAACGGTATTAAAATGAATTACGGTGCAATTATATATCTATAGAAAAGTTTTTTCACGTCTATGATTGAAGTCCCAAACAACATATTGCAATTTATGCATATAAATATTACATAGAAAAATAAAAAATCGAAACAGCGAGAAAACTATAATATTAAAGCTCTCTTATAAATTAACAAAAATAAGAAAACATACATTAAAAATTAAAATACATAAATAACTTAATATAATAATAATATATAATGCTAATTTATTTACAGAAAAAATTTTTTTTTAATAATTAGTCGCTTGGCATCAGTTTGATTATTATCGTTTATTTCAACATTCCGAAGTATTCCGTGTTTTCCTTCAAAAAACTTTTTTTAACCTATACAGATACCTAGTTGAGTTAATATAATAAACATTTAACTCTAACATTTTACATTTTTATACGGTTTTTCGATTTATTGTTCCTACGATTGGAATACCATGAATGAGTGAAGGACATTTTTAATATATTAATTATGCATGCAACGATTAGAGTAGAATGGTTAACGTCAACTAAACGATACAATTTTTTCTTAAATATTATTACTTATAATTATATATCTTGACATAAATTGACAGGAATCTGTAATCGTGGAAATGTTTTGTTATACATATAGGTAATTACCTATCTTAAAATAATAGATAAATATTTTATACATTGCAAGTTGCATTTCAATATATGTAATAGACATATTATAACTATATAATATTTAGTACGATAAAAGCACAATATATTATAGTGTAATGTATGCAGTAACATATTAATATAATGAGTTTATTTTTACTTTTAAACTTAACAGAATTATCTCAGAGGTAACACAAGTCAAACATAATAATAGGTATATAATAGTATTTAATAATTATATATAATATGATTAAAATGGTTCAATATTACAAAGACAATGATTTTGAGTCTAGAAAATCATTGCGGCCACACAAGCTGTTTTAATTTACATCATAATATAATATTTACAATCTCAATTTCATACAGTTTACACTTAAAAAAAAAAAAAAAAAAAAACAGAAAAAACAGAAAAAAATAACTCTCTCAATTTCATAAATAACACATAAAACATTGTGTCCATTTACGTCGATTGAGTGACTCTTGAGCATCGAACGATAAGGAACAAATTAAACTTACAACATTCGCGGTACACGTTATCGTTAATAATATTAAAATAAAATCAAAAAGCATTATAACACGTGCTTTATAGAAAAAAAAAAACACGAAATATTTGAACGGATTAGGTCGCAGTACGCGGGCAGACGGGTAAATTAATTATTTATAGTATAATAATAGGCGCACGGATAAGCGTTAAGACGGAAAGAAAAACCGAGTAGAAATAAAATAGAAGCGTGATTTGGATTGTGTGAGATGTATCATGGATTGTCTCGATATCGATAAAATGAAGAAAAATAATAGTGACAACAACTCCGCGGCCGCACTCTGTCGGCGGTCCACTGCGGAAAATCGCGGAAAAACTCGTCGGTACCTATGACCGCTACCTACATATAGGCACACAATAGTAATATGACGTTGGATTAATTGCGACCGTGTTTGACCGTGATGTGAGCCTACTGCAGCAGGGACTTGCACGCCATTGTAGAATAATAATAATAATAATAATAATATCATATTATTATATCGGACGACGACTGGTCGATTTACGCCTCGTTATAGTTGGCGGCGGCGGCGACGACGACGACATGATGGGCCCAGCTGTGACGAGCAGTATACCACCCCCTACATATATATCGTGTAAAAATGTACTTGTAGGTATACTATACCTACGTCAAAAAGGAAAAGAAAAAAAGAAAACTGGGGTTGAAAAAAAAATAAAATACCATTAGGTTGAGAAATTTCGACGACATTTGGCGGACATTTTGCGTTTTTTTTTGTTTGTAAAAAAAAAAAAAAAAAATTAACTGTCGTTAATTTACCTCTATCGCGCGTGCGTGCGCGCACACAATGTAATATATTATATTACAACGGTGAAACTTTTATAATGATGTTTTGAGTGTGCCCGTAAGAGTTTTCGGGAGCGACGAAACAGATGTCCTGCGTATATAGTTTCGGGATTTATTATACTTTGAGATGGTTTTTCGTGATTAATTATCGTCCTCCGAAAAATTTATAACGACCGCGTGTACGTGGATCGGGGATCAACCGCCCCGCCAGCGTCACACGGCGACGTGACGTTTTTCATTCGCGACGATCGGTTGGGGCATCATAGGGGGGGAGAGTAGAGGGGCGTCGAGTGTCTTTATTATAATAATAATATTATTGCTGTCTTATACGGTGACCGTTCGGCAGCGGACGGCGGGCGGGCGGACGTCGATCACGATTTACTTTTCCGGAAAATTGGCGGTCGACGGCCATTGGCGGTCGTGGAGTGGAGGCACTGCTGCAGGCACGGTAGGTAGGTATAATGTGTTCGGGTTACGCGCGCTGTTTGTACCGCGGTATAGTGCGGTTATATTATTATGGTCGTGACGATCGGAACGGTGCGTATGACCTGTGGTTGAAAGCGGCGCGCAAGACGTGGAACAAAAATCAAACAACAACAGTAAAAACATAATAATATTATTAAACAAATTGAGGAAAATTTAAAACATTTTTCTTTTTCTTTTTTTTTTTTTTTTTTAAATACGCCAAGCGTATTAGTTTAGCCGAATGTCCGTGGTCCGTATAATATGTACCTATATATTCAATATACGGTCAGTTGCAGTTGTGGTCGTCGTCGTCTTGTGGTGGAGGGGGGAGGGTTGTCTGGGAGCGAGTTCACAACATGACCAAATCGTCCTCGGGAATCGGCTCGAAGTCCGTTTGTCAGAACCGCGTGGCTGCGATGATCTGCTGCTGCTGCTGCTGCTGCTGTTGCAACGGTGCAGTCGATGGCGGTGGTTTGCCGAAAACTGGACCGCCAACGCCTCTCTGCTGTAGCTGTTGGTCCACTGTCAAGTCGGTCTGTACACACACAACAATACACATCGAAAAGTCAGTCGTGTACATCGATATTACCGAATCATTCTGCATACACTGTTGTTCTGCATTTCAGTAAGTGGCAGTAAGTTATACGTATATGATAAGATGAGGTAAACAATTGTCGATTTAGCGTCATGCAAAACAGGCAGCCGTGAGGGGTGAGCGACTAAATTTCGGGCGAGGTAAATTTCTATAGGGAAAATTGAGTTCTCCATAGTATATTGCATGCACGCAGTATCTATATGACGTGTGTAATACGATTTGGTCCATGTTGCTTAGCCTAAATGTTGCACACAATTTTGTAATGGTTAAAACTTAAAACGATTAATAAATCATAATAATATATTCGATGTATAAAAGTTACTTGTATTGTAAAGCCATCATTTTTGTCTTACTGCAGTCAGTTTATTATCGTAAAAATTAAGTTAACTATAAGGATTATTCGCTATACTATGGTAACAATAAAACAATCATAAAAAAATGAAGGCGTCTTATGCATACCTGCACCTTTTAGATGCCAGTGGAGTATTGAATGTATTGATTTTACAACAATGCGTGTTTTGACTTCTGTTTGTCATAATATTTTGGGACAATAAAAATGCTTTGATTTTTAGTAGAAAATTAAATTTTTTTGATTAAAAGTAAAATGTTTTAGTACGTTTTAAAGTAACTGGGATGAAAGAAAAAAATAGAAAAATTAAAAACATGAATTTAATGTAACTCAAAAACGAACGGATATTAAATAATCAAAATTTTCATAAAATTCTTATATTATAGTTTTCTATAAATAATACATATTTTAAATTATTTTGATTCTTTTTAAGCTATATAATATAGTTTGACATTTATTTTCTATAAATTTTGATAACCAAAATAAGTTTAGTCGGTCAAAAATTTTGAAAATTTAATGCAAGAATCCATATAAGTTTTTTGTTATAAAAATTAAATGATATTGGAAATATATATATTTTTTAAGCATTTAAAGTTATTCAATTCGTCAAAATCCTTAACATTTGCAAGCCGTTTTTAAAAAAAAAAATTAAAAAATTAATAACATTTTTAATTCATACCTGAGATTTTAAAATGTAATATATTATCTAAGGTTTCTTATAAATTTTTATTTTTTGGAATTTTGTCTCTATTCAAGCTGTAGTCTTCGATTATAATTAAGATAACGAAGATAATCAAGATTAATCATTTATGCATCATCCTTTAAAATTTGTCATGATGAGAAAGATTGCTGTTGGGTATGGTTTATTGTAGGCATGATAAACACTTAACATCACCACCGCTGGAATAAATATAGGACATATTATGGTCAATAACTAATAAGCTACTTTACTATCGATAGACATAACTACGAATAAATATACACAATATTTAATTTATTAAAAACGGAAGGCTACCAATTTAATTTGATAGGTGAGGAAGACAGATATTATGATCGTTCGTTAATGTTAAATGAATTTCGATAACTTAATAAATCACAGAAGAATCGTCCTAACCCGACCTTAATCACTCAGTTATATAGTCATGTAAATATGCAGTAAACTCGATCCTTATACTATGGTTGTTTTAACTGCTCTAAAGGAAGGTAAAATAAATATCAACAGATTAATTTTTCAGTTATTAAATGTTTTTACTGTTATCTGCTGCAACTCGTCATTCACTATAGAATATATTTATATTTGTGTGGAGGATAACAAGCGAGTTTTTATTTGAAGCGTAATTTTTTTAGGACTATCGGTATGAAGCAATGTTTTAAGTTTTTAAAGTAGATGGTTCACTAAAATATTTATTCAAAGACAATAAATACGTCGCCGATATTGGCGAAATAGCTATAGCAATGAAATCGATTGAATTAAAACGGCGGTGAATACAATTCTCTCTTTTTGGTGAAAATACGAAGTCTAAGGTCGATTGGAAAGACAATTTAGTTCTAATATCTCGTGAAATCAGAGGGGGGGGGAACGATTATGTGTATCACAATCGCTTTATAATTTAACCAATTGACTATCATAAACGACTAAAATATATTCGGATCATGATATTGATGAAAAGTTCTATGTTTTTATTTATTTTTTATTGATGTTGTTTATTTATTTTGCTCTACATACCTACAGTGGTAATGGTGATTAATATTGACAAGATGTGGAGGGGAACATCTAAAGCCAATAAATATTATCTTAGATGGATCCAAACAATATAATTGTTTTTCCTTAAATTTAATTAAATGATTTTTTTACAAATATTTTAGACGAAAAAGTTGTTTTGCATTATTTTAATCTTGATAATATAAATATTTTTCGGGGTTTTCAATTAAATTTATTATGTTAGTTGATGCTGTGATTCAAGATTAAAAACACCTTGCCACTATCATTATTGGAGAATTAAATTATATTGACCTGTCGAATTTATATCAACATTTTATTACTAAATAAATTGTTCGTAGAAATTTAAATGATTTTTTTGTTATCAGTTAATCATATTATATTTCAATGACATATCCAATGATTTAAAGATAAACTTATATATTTGTTTGATATTTCATAGAACTGTTTGTTCACTACTATTTAGTTTGGGATAAATACTGATTTAAAATATTAATTTATTAATTTCATAAAATCCAATTATAAAATTTCCACATTTGTTGCAAATATTAGACTTTAAGTTTAATATAGTATTATAATTCATAGAGCAATATTTATTACTTGCATACAAAAACTATTATTAATAACACACTATAGGTAAATATTTGCATTACCATTCGAAATTCAGAATTTAAAATCTCCACATACGTTCAAAATATATTTATTATTATGACAAAAAGAAAAATAAATAACACTTTGCGCAAACGACGAATTTTTATAAATGTGTTTTCACAAATAATGAAATGTGCCAAAATAATGTTGATTTAAAGCTGAAAGAGTTTATACACTCTTGGGATTATATAGGGTTTATTCCATAATGTATGTGAATATTCAACTGAACTTTTTTTTTATAAATATTTTTATACAATCTGTGTTTATTGTTTTATTGCTTGAAGTATTGCGTTATTGTATTAAAATATATCCACTACTTTTATATTATTATAATATGTGTCGGAATACAATGATTACTAAGTTAAAAAACTTAAGTGGGTATTATAGTAATCGTTTTAACCATAGAGAAAAAATTTCAATTTTACACACATAAAAAGTATAGCCTACGGCAATTAATTAATATACATTTACACAGAAGTTGTTGAAAACAATAAACAACATATTGAAAAATTAAATATTTATAAGTTACTGAATATTTACTACACTCGATTGTTTGAAGCAGAATTTGAAAAAAGAAGCGGGTGGTGGGGTGCAGATAATTTATCTAATATTTTGAAAGTAATGTAAAACAAAACATAATACTATATTTTATTTCTACAGGTGATAAAAACTCAAGGGTGGTAAAAAATTCATGCGGAGTGAAAAATTATTTTAAACACGTGCATTAATTTAAACACACAAAAGTTTTTAAACAAAAAAAAAAAAAAAAAAATACATAGAATGAACAAAAATCATAATTTTATGAAAGTGAGTCGAAAGTACGCTTTATTAGTTGATTTCCAAACATTAAATTATCATACACAACGCGATTATATAACAAATGTGTAAAAAAAAAAAATAAAAATAAAATAATAATAAACTAAAATGTTGTTAAATTTGCGCTTTAAATCAAAATACTTTCTTACAGTCTTTCTATAATTATAATATAGTTAATATTATATACTTAAATATAATCGAAAACGCAAAAAGTATTTCCCATATAATATTATTATAACGTAATATAGGAACTACTATATTATAATGTAGTACAATAATTATTAGGAGCGTACATTTTGTATGATGTGTTAATGACAAAATATAAATTATAAAATGCATGCAGCTTACAAACAAAACAAATAAATAAAATATAAAAGCTATCAGCACAACTTTATAGTCTACGAACGTTATATTAAAATAAAGTAAGCGTTTTTAGTTTAATGTAAAAAAAAAATGTCATTTTAATTTCAATAATAAATAAATAATAATAATAAAATTATAGACTAGGGTCTTGTTTAAATAGTTAAAATGTACAGTTCGTTAAAAATTATTTGTGGTCCGTATGATGACTCAGATATATAGGCAATATATAACTGCAATCATCGTATAATAATATTAACGCGGAATTAAATCGTGTGCATTATATTTGATTACACTAAATGTGTTCAAAGTGCTTTCGTTGTATTTACATACAATACGCGAATGTAAAAATATATATTTATGTATCAACTTAGCTAGTATTATAATGATAATAATATATGAATATTGAATAAGCTTTAAATAAATATGCTTTGTGCCATATTCATATTTTAAATCCAGTCCGTATTTTAGGCATAATTTAAAAAAAATTAGTTTTTAATCTTATAGGATATAGTGCCATCGTTTTGAAAAAAATGTTTAATATGAAAAAACCGAAAAAATCATAAGCTTCTCAGGTAGCACGTAAAAGTTTTATTATAGCTATCAGCTAGTTTATCATGTTCTTAATCATTAACAAAAATTATTTAATATAAATGTATTATACACAAATATTTGTAATAATATTTATTTAACTTATCAATTGTTAAGATGCCAGAAAGAAAGAAAATACCGTGTCAACATTAAGTTTAGATGGCCATGTTAGGAAAACTTTATATAAAAAAAGCTAGTTTAACGATAAGCTGAAATAGGTTCTGAGTTAATTAGAAAATTGTTGAAAGAATAAAAATAATATGTTCGTGGTATGTGTAGAGACAGAATGTGAAAAAAGTAGAAAAAATTGGCTATGATTAATAAAAACTAACTAGATCACTGTACACTTTATAGTTGTAATACGAATGAGCCACGAAGATACGACGTTTTTACGTCATAGGTAATTAATAAAAAGCTATATAAGGGATAAACGGTCGGAATGAGAAAAAAACGTGTAAGCGACGGCTAGTGGTACAACTAAGACGTAAATAACGACGATAAATTTTATGCGTTCCAAATTTAACTTTTGGATTTTCCGGTTATGGTTTTTATTGTCAATTAGTTTAAAAAAAAGGTTCTACAGGTATAAAATTGATTAAAAAAAAAAAAAAAACAAGAATACTGAATAACGGACTGGATTTTGTCATGTGGAATGGAAAAAAAAACACGATGCAAAATGGAAAAATAATGCAAATACTAATAATTTCAATAATAATCTAGAATCGTAAAAAATAAATAAATTTAATGGTCAGTACGAGGGAGGGGGAAGAGCTATGTCGTCGAGCGTGCGTTTATACCGTGCTCTCGCGCTGGTGAAGCTGATGATGGTGTTGGAGCCCAGGTTGGGCGGCCAACAACAGAGGTATCTCGGCGGACCGATCTTGCTGTTGGTTGTGGCCGTGTTTGTGGTTGTTGTGGTATCGGCCAAGAGTCATGGTACGGGCCTGCGGGACCGGCTGGTAGTGCGGCGGCTGCAGGGGATGATGGTGCAGATGGTGGTGCTGGTGTGGGTGGCTGGCGAACTGGTTCTGGTGGTCGACCTGCACGTATTGCACGTGCTGAGGTCCGCCGCCGTTGTGCCGGAGGTGGTGCAGTGCGGCGGCGGGCTGCTGTTGCTGCTGTAATTGTTGTTGCTGATAGTGTTGATGGAGCAACAGCTGCGGCGGCGGCGTAGGGCACATCAGGTTTGGGTACACAACGCCGGCCGAAGGAGAACCGTTGACAATGTCCGAAGAATAGATCTGCTGTTGAGGTGTCATCGGTGGAGGTGGCGGCATAAGTCCGCGAACCTGTAACGCAACAATGCGGCGATCAGTCTAAATATTTCCAAACAGATGGTATCGGATTCTACAAAGGGGTAGTGGAAATGTCTTTGCGAGTTGCAGCTCTCTCATTGAGAATATATTTCCAATTTTTTGAGCATTCTTAACCATCTGCTAGGCTTTTAATTTATTCAAATCCTGGTTTTTGAAATATTCGAGATGCTATAAAGATGTATTTTTCTTAAGAGCGATTTTTTAAACACCTATAAGATCTAGATTTAAAATTGAACTATAGCACTGTCTTGTGGTGATTAAAACTTTTCTAAAAATTGTTAAGCAGCTTATTATTTTTTTGAAAATGTGTATTATGTATCGAAGTCAAAAATTGTAACGAGATATCTCAACGGTATTTTATTTTATGCATTAAAAATATTTTAGTATCTATTATATTATCAGCTGGTATGCATGTATTGTATGAGTATGAAAATAATTTAAAATAAGGTCAATTTTTGAGTCGATTTACTATTTTAATTTATTAATTTAAACATTATGTAAACCTAATTGATGTTCGAATGATTTTATATTTAGGGAAACCTCTATATCGATTTAAGTCTTCTTAAAAGTCTCATCAGTCAACGAATATAATATATTGTATAATATATATTACGTGAAACTTTTTTTTTATTCGATAATATTTTATAAACTGTGATCTTATATTAATATTCCTTTTAAATTCAAAAATAATGATGAACTGTAGAATATTATTTAGGTGTTATCAATGGGTAACTCCTCAACACGACATTCATGTTATTTTAATCTGTTGTAAATTGTCTTAGTAAAAAAAAAATATTATTTATTACAATGAATGGAGAATTTTTTTTTAAATATAAACGGAGAATGACAGTTCTCATTGTTATTACTATTTACTACATGTTATTATAAATTGAAAATTGGTTAAATATGGTTATTTTTTAATAATAACTTTTGAAACTTTCTAGTAATTTTAAAAATAATTTGTAAAATGCTGGAAAACTGATGACAAAATATAAAAATGCAATTAAATCGTTGTAAAAAAGTGTATTTTTATCATAAATTATTAATATTAGAAATTTGCGATTTGTTATTATTATATTATCGTAATAATGTTTCAAACCTTTTTAATATATAAAATGTTGATTTACTAAAGTTTTAGAGTCTTTATAATTTTCATGTATATTTAAATGAAGCAACATTTTGTAAAAAACATTAGATTTTAGTGATACATAGAAAAAATAAATTTATTTTAATTTTTTAATGTCAGAATATCTCAGAATAAGATTTGAAAACAAGATTTTTGAAATGTTCGATGAGCACCATTAAAATTATCCCTCAGAGACTAATTCAGGAAGTATATATATTAATAATATCCAAGTATATCTAATTCGCAGTTGTTTGCAAAATTATTTCAAGTTTTAAGTACAATGAATTTCAATGATTACGAGTACAAGGAGATTAAGACGTTTGAGATGCTTATAATATCTTCGACGGCAGTTAGTATTGTTGTATAATAATGCACCTAATGATTATAAACGTTTATTCATTTATTCAAATCTTTGTGTATAATTTATGTCCATGCACGGATCGGGCGTAATGACGTAGATAGGTACTTAAAAGGACTAGTATCTACCAATACCTTCCACTTAATATCTATTTTTTTCTTGTACTTATCTATATCAAGTTGTCATTTAATTATTCGCATTATGATCATTGAAAACATGAACGTGTGCAATGCGTACATTATTGGTTTAAATATAATAAACATTCAAATTAGTTTCAATACTTGAACGTGATGAAGTTGATATATATTGCGTTATATTAATTTCAGTTTTTATTTATAATTATAGTTTAGCTGGGAGAAATTATTAAATTTTCATATTCAAATAACAAGAAATTATATTAATTTTAAGAACAAAACTAATTTGCACAACTAAACACACACATACACAAATAAAATATAAATTTAAGTATATTACTATAATAAAATAAAGGTGATTAACAAAGTTTATATTATTATACCACCGAAAAGATGAAAAAATGTTTAATCTACATATTATTTTTTAAATTTTAATATTTTTATATAAATAAATCAAATTGTGAGTATAGTAAAATAATATCAATTAAACGCCACAATACTACATATGTATAGGTATAATAAGCAGTTTGAAATTGTTGATTATAATATGCTTATTAAAATTTAGAAATTTAGTATGTATAAATTATTATTTCAAGCGAAACTCTGATGTGTTAGAATATCATGTAGATTGAAGACTTTCTAAAATGTATTAGGGAAATATGTTGTGTTTCATTCTAATTACTTTTAATTTATTCCAGTCACTGTCAGTATTTTGAACCCTGTAAGGTTCGATATATGGTCCACGTTCGTTATGCAGTATAATAAATAATAATATCAACTAATAATGTCATAATATTATACCATGATGTATCTATATTATTTTTAGAAACGTGATAATGTCACTTTGGGGATTTTTCACGAATGGTGTTTTAATTTAATGAAAAAGTTAAGGATGTTCAATCAAATAAACAAAATATATTATTTTTTATTGTTAGCTATCAGAACACACCGGTCGTAACCTTTTATACGTATTGGCCAAAGTATGATTGTAGACCGTTGTGGATTTTTGGTAGTTGCGATAATCTAAAACTTGCACACAAATACCAAGTATTTTATGGTTTTTCTCTACACTTTTGTAATAAATTAGAATTTCCGTTTTAAGTCTGCTTTCGGCTATAAATTATACTATGTTCAAACCATGTTACGCTTATTGGACTTACTTGTTGTTTACATGTTTCTGCGTCGACCATTCGTGAAGAGTATATTCTGCCACTGTTTAACCGTTCAAATGCCTTTTCATCTTCGTCTAAGTAATCTGTGAAGAAATTGTGTATATTTTAGAAAAAAGTATATTTTCATAATGAAAGTAAGTAAAGTTAACTAAAATCACAAAGTATTAAGCTGTTGTGAAAATTAAAAATAAAATTGCTTGCGTAGAAATTTATGTATTTTATATAGTTATTTTAAACAAGATTTTTTATTATTTAAACGTTCACACGGATTGCGAAAAAAAGCTTTATTAAATTCTAAGAAAATATATTAACACTCCCAAAAGAACTTTGTTGAGAGAATTTGTTGTATTCAAATATAATATATTCCTATTATGATTAAATAAGTCATGGAAAAACGTCAAGTTATATTCATATTAATGTTTGAACATTGTTATTTTTTTCATCTGAAAAAATACATTTTACTTGTTAAATGTACTTAATATTAAAAAAAAAATGTTGTTAAAATAATTTTAAAATAATATTTAAAGCGCTATAGATAAAACGTTTATTAATTTTTCAGCTCACACAATATATGTATATACTTATGTATACCTATATATACCTATATTATTGTATTACGAAACGAGGAAATTTCATTTTTTTTCTCAAACGAGACGAAAATTACTAACATCCAATTAATGGACAAATATTGATTTTTGACCATATTTAAAAATAAAATATTACATAACATTGGAGGGCTGAGATTGAACGGTAAATGTAAATTTAGTTGGTTATTATTATTTTAACTTTGTTATAAATGCACCATAGTAAAAATCTAGACCTAAATAAAACGCTTTGATAGAAAAAAAATCATATGAGAAAAGAAATAAGAATAAAAGAAGAGAAATAATTCTGTTAAAATGTCAGACGATCAAAAATAAATAATAATTAATTTTACAAAGAAGAACAATTTTACAAATTTTATAGCTGGCTACAGGGGTAGCTTTTCTATTGGAGATAAATTATTGTGGCTGATTAACAATAGAAATCATATAATATTTCATATAATTCATTTTTATGTTATCCGATATTGAATACAATGAACGTAAAAACACTGAAAACTATTAGAACAAGAGCTGCTTTTGTTTGAAAAATATGTATTAATATTTTGTGATAGAGGAGGTAGCAAAAAAAGAAAAGTTTGTTCGTTTTGAACTATATATGTATAAACAACGATATTATTTGACATCAGCTATTAATTTTTAGACAGTTATGAATGGTTTTTTTTCCAAAATTATAAAATAAAGGGTTAAAAAACAGTTATCACCAATGTACAGCATTAAAATTTTATTTGGTGATAAGAGTCTGTTAGTTTTTAATTCATTTTTATCCCTAATTTGTATGCTGCGTTTTTTAAAATTGAAAAAGAATGATTTCTAGGTATTCACCGTTGTCGTGTGGGATGATGTCAGGATTTTTTTCGAGTCCGTCGTCGACGGTATCTGCTCGTTGGTGATGACGATCTCCACCGTCGCCTCCGCCTATACCACCATCGTTTCCTCCTCCTGTGCCGCCACCAACGACTCCGCCGTTATCACTGATTCCGGTTCCAGCTGTTGTTCCTGTTCCAGTTCCGTCAACGCCCTCGATGGCCGTTTTAGAGTCGTCGTTTGACCGTTCGCGGCGACGGCGCCTAGCCCGCTTCCGCTGCACAGCTACGGCCACGGCCACGATACACGCGATCGACACGACGGATGCGACGCAGCCGACGACGATCACGGCTAGCATGGGCGAAAAACGAAATCCCGAAGGTGTGACAGCTATAGATAACAAAATAAAAATATTAATGTCTTTATATGAAGTCGTCATAAGTAATAATATATATATTATGATTTTGTCACAATGTCTAAACATTGAAATCATCTAACGTGTAGATTTTTCGAATATATGGATATATGCGGAATTCCGGACTTAAGGCCGTTATGCAAATTTTTTACAAGACGGGTGGCATAATATTATCCGATTGAGACGGTTGAGTTAGTTGTTAACGATTATTAACTGTTATTATGGCTAATGCAAGAACGTTACGAACAATGACCAAATAAATTACATTTTTTTTGTATTAGTATTTAATATTTATATATTGTGGTTTTAGTTATTTTATTAAGGTATTATTAATTTGGACATATTAAACTCGAATATCATTACTATAAATCACAGAGCGTATATCGTGAGTACAGTTTCATACTTTTGAAATTATTCGTTAAAAAAATAATAAAAAAATAATTTTAAAATTCTATTGTAGTGAAATTTTTTTTAACAAATACCTGCAAATAGCAGAAATGGTGAACGTATTTTTTAAACTTTTTTTTGGAAACAAATTACAAATTTAACTCTCTGAATAGTGTACGCAATTTTAGCAACTTAGGTTTCACTACACTCGTGGATTCAATATAAATTTAATGTAATTTCTTAGAAATAAGGCTCTAAATGAATATTATTTTTCTCGAAATTATATGATTGAATATAATATTAAAACGCTCCTCTATTCGAATCAGCACTGTTCTTTCTTCTTGCTACCGTTATTATATTATTATCAACGTTTTCTCGGCGAATTTCGTTAATCCTATTTTCGGTAGGTATTGTTCTTTTAAGTAAATATCGTCGTCCCTGGGGTCTTATATTATTATTAAAAAATATGTCAGCAGGTACTTTATAAATTATGTCACTTTCCCGCGTTGTGTGGGAATCGATTTGTTGCCGACAAAAAATTGTCTAATGCGCATTAGATGGAAAAAGTCAATAAAAGGTTGGTCCAATACGTGTTCACGTGGCTGAGCGCGCTTGTAACAACGGTTATGAACGAGCGTGCGAGTATTACATTTTATTACTAGTGACTACAAGAGAATTCCGCATTAGGTTAATCTAATCACACGATTGGGTAATACGTTATCGGCGTTCGCCGAGAGGTTCTTGTTGCGTCTCAGGGTGCGCAGCGCGTCATTATTTCATTTTTGATCATCACTTTCCTAACCCCGCAAAACTCGGACGTAATTGAGTGTATGTAGGTGCTCTTCCCTGCCATTGTTAGAACTGCTCGAAGCCAAAGTCAGCCGGCTACGTGATCGGAATACGCACACAGGTACTCATATGTATTCTTTTAAGTAATGACTATCGGCCCGGAATAAATTTCAATTGAGAACGCTATTTGTGAGGCAATAGGCAAGCTTATTCGATTTTCTCGAACTCTTTGTGCGTTCTGCAGGTATTATAACAGAGCGAGCCATAGATGAAAAAAGCCAACGGATGCCGAAGATACGACATAGTATTCTCAAACGATAAAAATCATATTTATATAGATACTTCAGACACCGATGAAAGTCATTTTTATTGATATGTGGCGTATATATCACGCGTTTTGTGTGAACGCCGCCAGTATAACATTTTTCTTTGATTGTCGATGTGTGCATAGTACTACTACAATATCACGAATAATTTATATTCTATAATAATTATTCGTGTATGAAATTAAAATGATACAATACATTTAACTATAGATGTAAATCCACCGCCGGTTTTTCAAATCGAATGCGATCACGGTAAAATTTCGATTTTAGAAAAATTCAAACAGACATGATTTTACTAAATGAATATCTGTGACGAAACTGTTTTGATTTTTTTCGCCTTTAAATTTACAGTTAACATCTGACGTACCTATGGCGTTGTGTATTCAAATTGCTTATGTAAAGATTCGCGATATTACAATTATTTCCTTTGCATGATTGAAATACATTAGGTATTTACATTATATTGAACACAATAATAAATTTGGGAGTTGATTATTTCAAAACAAAACACTGATTGCAAAAGAATATTCATTGGTTTTATGACATTTTTATAACCTAATAGTTTTAAGACTAACCCGATGTCATTTCTAACTTCCAATAACTATTTAAATTTAAAATTTTAATAATGTTTTTCAGCATTTTGATGCATTTATAACACCGTCGTTTAATGTTTTATTTAACTGATATTATAGGAACTAAGACATATTATTGTAAAAGCTTCCCTGTGAACTCAGCAGACTAATAGTAACGGCATTTTAAGTGTTTTAAATTAACCGGAATTATAGTTGATGGGATGATAACTGAAAAAATATTGAGATGTGATATAATTAGGATTTTAAGTGGATAAGTAATATTTCATTACACAATTTTAATTTATTATTCTGATTCTAGATAGTCGTACACTCATAAAACTTGATAAATAAACATTGTACAAATATAATGTATTAATTATTAATAAGAATGATATAGTAATAGAGCTTTATTGGCCATAAACTCGTAAATTATATGTTATAATTTGTACATAGCTTACTGAGTGCACATAATTGTAACAAAGTTAAAGTAAAGGAAATATCTTGAAAGTATTATAATGTATTCAACTTGAAAAGTATATAACAACGTGTAATGTTATGTAAAATATGCATCGAAAATTGTAAGTTTTGTTAAGTATAAATAGTTTTCAACTTCAAAATTGAAGTTTATATAATAACTGTAAACGGAGTTCTATAACAGTAGTAAGTACGATCCTATACAAGTAAGTGAGTAAATATCGAGTGGTTCGTAAAATGACAAAAACTATTATAGAAAATTATAACACGTTTATTCAATATATAGCTTTCGAGTAACTGTTTGATTCGTTAAATTTAATACTAGAGAACGTCAGGTAATAAAATTAACTATTAAATAGATATATGGTATTCCCGAGGAAAACCTCTCACATGTACCTAGGTAATGTCAGTTAATGTCAAATTGTTTCAGATTCTCTACATAATTATACGAAACTATGGTTATGCTATGGTTAAATCTATTGGAGTGCTTATAAAACCCATAAAATGATGTGTATTGAAGTTTACTTTACTATAGCACTTTACTTTTAGCTTTAGCACTTTACTCGAGTTCGTGCCTTCCATCGCTTTGGAAGCTTATCGGAACTATTTGAAAAGAATAAAGTTTGAACCACGGTATAAAAATCCATCAACGTGGCACTATCGAATTCTTGATAAAGAAAGAAAAAGAAAGAGAGAGAGAGACGTGACTATAAATGAATACGAAAATGGGAGAAAAACGGATTATTCGTGCGGTAACGCATTCATAATTTATTCCTGAATGGGGGATATCAATTTAAATGTGAGCACGTATAACGCAATAACGCGTATCAGCCATAATATATATATATATATATTTACACTATTTTTTCGTTTTCGTTGTTTTGATACAGAATCCAAAACATAATAACGCTTATTGTCACGGCTTTCCTGATGACTGTGGTTAAAACGACGTACTATGCGACAAATGCGTTCTTTCGATCCTGTCACAATAATATTAAGAAGGTCTAATCACTTAGACTATTTAAAAGGTAACAAACTAGATTGCTAACTACCGAGCGCTTACTGTAGAAACGTACAAATTTATCTTTACGATGGAAATCGGAGTACTTATTATCAATCGCGGATCGCGTACAACAATCAATAATAATAATTATAAACGATACGCGTGTATGAATATCGTTTTACCAATGATAAGCAATGACGTGCGGAATGCTAATTAATAATAATCAATATATTATTGTTCGATATAATAATAATATTATCATGTGCATCTATAACGTACCCGTGCGTTTCTCGGCCGACTTGAGGGTGTAGGCGTGGAGCTGGACGGGGTCGGACGGTCCGCGGCTGTTGTATGCGTAGACGCTGATGTCGAATCCTAGACCAGACGGCAAACTTCCGACGGTGAACGCGGGTTGATCGGCCGTCACGTTGCCAGCCAGCGACTGTCCGTGACGGTCGTATACCTCCATGACGAACCTCTGGCTGAGGCCGCCGTCGAAACCGGGCTGGCACCGGACCACCAGCGACGCCGACGTCTGGTTTACTACCGAGCAGTTTTCCAAGCTATCCGGACGTCCTATGTAAAAAGTTGAAAATATTATGCCATAGTTAAAACGCGGTTGTACTTTTGAGTAGGTACAGATGTTGCTGTCGTGCTCGTTTCGACCGATAAACCGAGCCCACATAGAAAATTAGATTTCGATCGATTAGGTATAGTTGATTAGTTATAAGTACAACTTATAACTATTATAAGTATTTGAAGAACGGATGACGGGCGTACGCCGCGAAATGCTGGTCCACCGCATCGCTCGTCGGAACATTAAATATCTACAATATTAACTAACTATCTAGTATTTACTTGTTCGGATTTCAATTTGTATACGTCATCGAAACAATCCGACAAGTACCTGTAACTCTGCTCTAGGAAATGAAATCGAAAATGTATGTCGTCATTGAATAAAGTAACAAAACTAAATCAATAAAAATAATAAAACGATGTCATCACTCATCTGTTATATTATTTTAAATCAGATATGCAATTCAAGTGTTTTCGAAAACGCGAGTAGTTTTGAACTAATGAATATCTTTTGATCAAAGACAAATTAATAATATGCGGTAATTCGGGAAGGTATAATTCTAAACAACCGAGAAGGTGACTATTGATAAGCGTTCCAAAAAACACCCTAACACGGTTAGGGTCAAACACTCGGAATGTCAATCATTTAAAATAAGAAAACTGGTTTATTAATTCTTATCTATCACAATAAATTATATTGCTATCCGAGTCTATATAAATGATTATCATAATTTATTTTCAAAATATTCTATATTACACGAGAAATAAGACAGATATTAATATTATAGACAAGCGCGATAAGCGAGGGTATTTTTTTTTATTTATTAAATTACACGGGGCAGCGGCGGCAATAAACGTAATTTTTAATAAATTAATCAATTTTTTTTATTCGTTTTGTTGTTTGTTTGATTTTTTTTTTATTATACCATTTCATCGTGCTAGGCCGTAAACATTTTCAGTGGTATCATTACACGGGACGCGATCCATAAACGTCAATAAAACGTAATGATCAATAAGTTAAACGTTTCAATCGCCATAGGGGTTTGGCAACCCAATTGATATATATATGTATAAACAATCAAAGTGCAGATTCGGTATGACATTATGTGGTTAAATCCGAACACAATATCTATACCATTTCGACTGTCGAATATTAATTGGAAGACGACGTTAGTATAATAATTGTTCAATACGAAAGTTGACCCGTCCTCACTCCTTCGGGTCAGTTTAATGGTGTCTTATATATTTTTTGTTTTATTATTTCTGGGAGTTGAATGTCTTTAATTTTTTATATTAACTGAAACCGTTTGTCGTCGGCAGACTGTTTTAGTTCCAAACTTTTAATTCGATTATAAATCTGAAGATCGTAAAATGGTTTTATCTAGTAGCTATGTGTAATACGCACATTGTGTATAGACTGTATACGTTATATATATATATATGTTGATGAATATATACAGGAAAACTATAATATATGTTGAATTAAGCTGCGGAATTACCTACCCACTACAGTATATATATATATAATAGGATATTTATAGGTACTTTTAAAGAATTGGTTTTTCGGTGAATAATTTAGGGGCTTGTTGTTCCCTCTGTATTTTTACGCACACATTGGCCGTTAATGTACAACTGCAGTGCACGATGATGACGATGATAATAATAATAAAGAAAAACTTTTGAAGTTCAAAGCGTGGGATTACAGCTTTTGGGTTAATCTCAAGGGCATTGTGGACACGTATTATTCTATATAATGCACCAATAATTTCGGTCTTCAGTCGCCCGGCTCTAAACTTGTGTATTTACTAAACTGCGAGATGGTTGTCGAACCGTGGCAACGAGAACTGCGTGGTTCATTTCCGTATAATAAGTGCGAATTTTTTTCATCCGAAATCTCACGGGATATTCAGTTTTTATTTTTTCTACCTCCCTACTTCCACCGCTCGTCGACCACTCGTGGTCTCGTCGCTTTTCATTGTCGTCCCGCGGTCCACGAGTTCCGCTAAAAGGAACAGACTCGGTGGCGCATAACGTTATGCCAAAAGTTAAACGCCAAGTTCGGTGAGTGGCGTTCACAAAAGGTCCGGGTTGTTCTGGTTTTGTTCGCGCGGCCCGGATGTCGGTCGTCGAGTTCTCCGGAAACGCCATTATGTAATATTACTATTGTGAAAACTTCCACTTGGTCTATGCGATGTGGTTTCTATTACATACTTTCGCAGAAGCAATTCCGAAAAGTTTGCCTGCCTGCAGAAGAATAGTCGCGAAGAGCACGTCACGTCATTTCTGGAGTAGTTAGGTTACAAAGTTTTTAAACACTATATTTAGGTGTGCGGTGATAGTGCGAGTGACGGTTAAATACGATTTATGAGTTGGAGTTGATGATAATGATAGTTGTTGGCGAAGAGATATGAGAACTACAAGACTTGTATTTTTTCTGGCGCGAAATCATGAAAATCTAACTTTTAGTGAATTTTTACACTTAAAAAACATTTTTTTTTTCATATAGTGATCTACACGCTCGTTATCTTTATGAAAAGTGATCAGAAATTTTATTTGAGCAAAAAAATAGACTGCAAACGAGTTGAGCCACAGATACACTCGTTATGTAAAATTCTTGAATTATAAATCAATATATATATAGTTTTTTTTTTGCGTGGTCGCAGGAATAGAACAAAATATATTATTTTCTCTAGACAATGTCAGGATAATAGTCAATAACAAAATATTTTCAAACAACCTATGGTGACCGAAAACGGCGAAAACTGCAGAATAAAATACATATTTATATTAATACATTTTATGTAGTGTGCTTTTATTTTTAAATAACAGAGTAGCTAGTTACTTAAATTATTGTTGGCGTATATTTTAAAATGTTTTAATTTCACGCCAAACAATTTACAACCGAATAAATATTTGTTTTTTTTTTTTTTTTTACTACCGTATAACCCAATAGATTATTATTGACGCATAATAGCATTATTATTAAAATTATATTTTGTACGAATAATTTGTGATATATTTGGTCGTTTCATCATTAAAGTGTGTATTGCTTTTGATTTATTGTCTACGCGACACGCACGTTTAAAGTTTTAACATTCTTAATTAATATTTTTAAGTGTGGCATTACGAAATACATTATGTTACGCATTGCACATAGTATGACCTTATATTACATACATAAAGACATAAAAAAACTCCGTTATTACGTATTTATTAAAAGTTTTGGCTTAATTTAAAAAACTAACGATTTCTATGTTAATGAAAAGCCCACCAAATGGGATATAGTATAATATATATTTATGAATGATATATTTGTAAGAATCAAACAGCGTCACATACAATTATGTGTGCGCGAAAATAAAATTTTACTCGTGTACGTGCGCAATACATAACAATCATTACCGTATTACAGTCGGCGGCTTAAGGTTTTAGTATACCACATAAATCTTGAAAGATTAACCATCCGCTGTAGCAATTTCGCTTGGCATAGTGGTATCGACGTTTTGATAAGTATTATAAGGTATCAGTAGACGTATATTGTATATAATAATTTATTACATAGAAAAACACTTACCGGCTGCTATCACTTGGTATACGCATGGCACTATTTGTTTGCCGAACTCGTTGCTCGCCCAACACATAAGTGTCCCGTAATCGAGTGGCGTCAGTGGCGTGTACGCAGCAGTGCTCCGCGGTCCCTCCTCTGTGTAACGGTCACGATCCAAGTCAACCGTTTCTCGAGAGTTGTTGAAACGCCACGTGTATCGAACGTTATCCGACGGGTTAGCCTCTACCTCACACAGCACTTTGGCAGCTTCGCGTCTGCCCACCCCTTGCACCGTTTCTTGTCCAGGACGACATACTGGAGCGACTAGAAAATTAATAAAAAATATGAATACCGTGATATTATTTTCTCACAAGCTTTACGTACACATTACTATAAGTATAATATGGTTTTAAACTATGGCATATTATTATGCAATACACTTTCCAGCAAAACATCGAAAAGTCTTTTAATATAATATGTATTTTATGTAATTTAAAGTGAAACGTGAATTTCAGTAAGTACTCGTGTTCAGTAATTCGACGATTTGAATCAGAAGAAAAAGTGATGAGATGTAGAAAATTTTTATTTTGTTATTAATGCATGCATATTGGATTTACTAATAAATTTCTTATTATTTCTAATAGAATCGTCAATGTATATGTATATATATAGATTTTGCTCATGAAATAGTAACAGCTATAAACATTGTAGTTGTATAATGAATTGGTGCACATCGGTTTTAGTGTTCCCCAGGCCATGGAAAAATCGATATTGACTTCACTTTATAAATTAATTAGACTTCAATGGATTTACGTCTGTGCAAAATTGGATGTAATTAGTCATGATACATTTTTGAACGTGGTTCAAAGAATGTTCTAAACTCTTTTGATATTTCCAAGAACAATTCGAAATTTTCGTCAAAATTGATCGAGTAGTTTATGAGTATATAAGATACGAACATATATATTGCACACATATAGTTATGTATATAAAAGTCTCTTTTTTTACTGTAACTCACTGAAACTTTTTATATATATTCCGATTTCGCAACTTATAGAGTTTAAAAACAAAACTATGAACACTCTCCAAGTATTGAGGAGGAATAGGCGTGAAAAATTCTGTTGTTATTGCTTTATGTAATTTAGTGTGCGTTATTAAAATAATATATTTTAAAAATATTTAAAATAAAGTTAAATTTCTACACACCATAATTATATTTGTTGTAAAAAAAATTAATTAATATTAAAAACTCTAAAAATCTACAAAAAATTCAAATTATAGGATTTTATATGATAAAAAAAAATAAAAAAAATAGTCACTAAATTATAAATGAAGTTTGAGCAGGCGTACGATTGAATACACATTTACATTTTATAACTGATAAAGTGATAAATTGCATATTATGTGTTCATCAAAAGTTTTAAAATTCCGAGAAAAGTATAATTTGAATATTTCTTCTGAAATTAAATCATATAATTTGATTGTAGTGTTTAATATAATATAATATTGTCGAGTAGTACAAGGACGAAGATGCATTGTCGCCACATCAGTGAAAACAGTGGTAACTACAGTGACGTCGATGACGGTGACAAACGAACTGAGTTGGGTCAATCTCTGTTTATTAATTGCCGGGTCCATCTGCTTTACTTGTTTTTCTAAAACTTCACAGAAATGTACCCAAAGTTGTAATTATCAAAACAACGAGCGTCCGTGTAGAAGTTCGTGGCATCGCTTACTGACTTTAGATGAAAAGGGTTAGATAAGGTTTGAATTGAAAGATATTCAAGCAAAAAAAAAAAAAAACGCATTGAATTAAGTAATTATGAATATATTATAATTTTGGATTTCAATGCGGTAATAGTGTATTATTATATTTTTTAACAACAAAGTTGAAAATATCTCATTATATTTCCAACTTTGTACAACAGAAAATTTAGTCTAAACATAATATTGTTATAATTATATAATTTCAAGTTATTAAAATTAAATTTTGTACATCTGGTTTAAATAATAGGTATATATATATTGAATACATTTATTATTAAAAAAATCTTATCCATTTCTGGAAAAATTCCTCAAAATAAACACTTAACTTCTTATCATAAATAATTTATTGTAGAGTTAAAAAAAAATTATTTTTACTGTATCATATTATTTAGTAATATTCTATGACCTTATTTGCCAAATCAATAATATTATTGGTATAAAATTATCAAAAAATGACCGAATTTATTTAATTCTCTTTTCATACGGTCGCTACAACTATTGAAAAAAATTAACTCATTAATTAACAAGGTAGTCATGTATCCTAAATTAACAACCATTATTAACCTTTCTCATCAAGTTTTGATAATTCAATTAAACATAGATACTGCCAATATTTTTATGGAAATCACATAAGGAAGAAATTACAGCGACTAAAATATTAAAATAATTAAAAAATGACATATATATATATATATATATAAATGAGATATTTCACACATTAATGGGGTCTAAATAAATAATGCTATTTAGATATCAATTGTCATTACCATATAAGCAAGATCAACCTCATCTAAAACATTTAATAAAACACAATTGATGCCTTACTGCAACCAATCTGACGAACCTAGCACAATTAAATTCGTGATCGTCCTTAAGGGTTAAAAATTGAGTACCTACACAGAGAAAAACATTCTGAATTACTCGTTAACAACGATAAAAGAAAACTCCGAGAACAAAATACCCACTATATACATAACTTTTTAAAACCATTGTTGTCGATACTAAAATATAATTATATTAATGTAAATTTATTATGTATTGAATTATTAAATGAAAAAAAAAATCATCATACCATTAATTGTGGCGCTACTTTAATTATTTAATTAAATTTATAATTAATATTAATGTGTTGGCTAATGATCTAGTTGATGAAGCCCTTATTCTAAGTTATAAAAAAAAAAAAAAAAAAAAACTAAATCCGGATTTAAACACGCATTGTGAATAATTTTAAGAATTTGTTGTATCGTAAAAGCAGTGCAATATTTCAACAAATACCTATACTTAAACATGTTTTGGTCCAATAAATACTGTAAATACCCATACTTGTATGTTAATAATACATTTATCGGTTACATGTATAATACTTATATATTAGTATAAAATTTCAACACGTTATATATATAAAAAAAAGTATGTTAAAACTGCGATCTCTTCATGTGGAATATGACAACAAGTGTAAACTATTGGAATCAAGAGAATATAAACTGTAAAACATTAAGCTGGATTCGTGTGTGTTAATGATTGTTAGGTTTTATTGACTATAGTCAGTAATACGTGTTAACATTTTTTTATAATCAAATAGAAAACTTTTTTGTTGTTTAGAGCTAAGCGGGGGGGGGAGGGTCGGAGGTTCCTTCTAGATGTGACCTTATAAACAATGTATCACCGATTAATAGATTTTATTATGACATTTCAATACATTGTGAACAAATCATTGTCTAACAACAGTTCAGTCGCGCTGTTATGATTGCACAGATATCTAGGAATAGCGATAACTTTAAACGTTGCCGTGCAGTTAAATATATTTTTTTTTTTTTTTTTAGACATTGACTTTTTACTAAGTATTATTTACCCTTTAAAAACTTTGTACGACGAAACTTTTGAATGAGCAATCGAATTAGGTTATAAAACGATCGTAAAACGAACAGAGAACTTAACGGTTGAGTTCTTTTTGTGCTCCACGCGTTTCCGAGAAAACACATTAAGTTACATTATTTTCGTTGGGACAAAATCGGTATGGATCGTAAAGTGTGAACTGAGAGGTAAAAAAAAATAAATAAAAATAAAAATAGTGCATAAATACGAACATAATGTATTATTATTTTTTTTTTCGTTTTATCTTAATGAATAATACTACTCGCCGCGGGAAAGTCCGTTAACGAAATATTAACAACTAATGTACTTTTATCCGAGCTCTTTTTATCGCATGGTCTGTCCACGGACACCGAACAGATGTTTGCTTGTTTCCAACAAAGGATTAAGTCGACAAAAAAGTTTTTTTGATATAATTTATGCGCTTTAGTATTTTAGAAACATCTACATCATTAGTCATCGTCTCATGAGAATGTCGAGTTTAATGTAAAATATAATAACAGCGTCATCTATGTAAAGGCATAAGTATATCAATAGTATTGTGTCTTGTTTTTACGTCTCTGTACAATGCTATAGATAATTAAATTTGAAGATTATTTTTAGATAAACTATGTTTAGTTCAACAACAGAAAAAAAATATTTTTCATTAACACATCTATAATGTATGGAAACTTGATGAAATCGAATCTCTGCAAGTAATATTTTATAGATTTTAATATATTCAAATTAAATAAATATTTTTTTTTTTTCCACGTTTACATCTAAATTTTATAAATTTTAAGTTTTCCAATTGAAAAGAACATCTAAGTTAAAATCTGAAAATATTCATTTTATACAGTAATCTTTATAGAGATCGTAATTCTCAACTGTTCTGGGAGCAATGTTTTAAAAATAAATTGCGGGGATACTTAAAGGTTGTTCTGAACATTGTCTGAGTATCTACGCTTTCTATCTGTTATTTAAGAAATTATGCTGACTACTAAAAAGTTTTTTTTATTCAAGTCAATTAGAAAGAAATTTTAATATTTCAGGTTTGAAATAGTTTAGAAATATAATTATATTAAGCAACTTCGATAATTGAAAATGGAAAGTAAAAAAAGTTTTTACAGTGTTGAATGAGCCAAGCAGTAAGCTAAAACACCTGATAATTTAAAAAAAAAAATATTGCACATTACATTGGAAAAGCATACCAGACTAGTGAATGATTCACCCAAAAATAGACAATTTGATTATAAGTATACGAGTTTAAATTTTGATTTCAGTTTATGCCCCTCCTATAGCTAATAAATATGAAACTTAATACTTGTTTTGAAAATAATTATAAATATTTGTAAATTGGTTTTCAAAATGTGTAAACTATTTATCAGTTTAGTATAAAATTAATAAAGTCGGAAATAAATTAGTGTCAGTCTAAAATTTACCGGATAAGAGAATTAATTGCTGATTCTGAAAACCAATTTGCTAAATTTTGGTACTTCTTGAAGTCGCTAATTACGTATTAGAAATGATGAACGAAGTTGGCCAATTATCTACTATGAGTACATAGTTTTCAAATAAATTAGTATTTGTAGGATTGATGTGGAGGAGGAACGGGTGGTTGGATAACTTCACTTATTTTTGTCCTATGGGATATTTGGGGAATACAACGGCAACATTTACATCACAATAGTTGAATATATGTGGAAGTGGAAGCTAAAGTTGTACGACCAAACTACGATTATAAACGTCTGTTTATAATTATTCCAAATACCTTTGCTTGACTTTTGTTTGGTCAGATATGTAAATTATTGAGATGCATTGTGATATGGGGCATGATACCACGTACAGTTGTATATACGTATGATATACTATAATGAATCATCGATTACTGCATACGATGTAATTCTCTTTGAACAATACCTTAACTGCTGTTTTATAAAGTATCGAGCAAAGCAACCATTAAACGCTCATTAATATGGTTCAGCTATTGTCTGAATTCCGCAGGTCTTAATTTGAATATATTAATAATGAAAGTTGTGAACTGTGACACGAGTTCTTCTGTAATATTTTCCTGACTTCAAAAGAATAAAGCGATTCAACTAAACATGACTAGTTGAATAAATGGCAATAATCATAATATGTTTTGCTGTATCACACACATTTCAAATATAAAAATACAGAATTCATATTTATCAAAATACCATTTTGAAATTATAACTTATAAGCGATCGAGATGAAATACTGTGACTAAAAATGTAAAAAAAAAGACTACATAAAATACCCGACGTATGTACAAATTAGATATTTTTTAACTCAATCACTACATAGGTTATAGTGCTTTATAATACATTCGTTCATACTCACATTTAATATCCAACGGAACTGAATTGCTCTCACCGTCGCCCTCTTGATTGCTACCGACGCACGTGTAAATGCCAGCACGGCTCCGGGACACTTTTTGCAAGACCAGACTCTGATTGCTGACTATCGTACCAGCGGCCGGGTTATTGTTCAGTAACTTTCCCTGTGTGCGTCGAATACGATAAGTATGATGACAAATTATAATATAGACAAGTTACAATTGATGGGCTACAATCAGTCATATTCAGTCTTAAGATGCGTGGTATATTGTAGAAACAACCACCTCTGACTGGATATAAATACAGTATATATTCCACTTAACGCAAAAACTGATTAATAAAAATAATCATTTAATGGAATCAAAAAAAAAAAAAAAAAAAAGAAAAAAAAGCAAATAACATAATAATACGTATGTTTGTTATGTAAAAATTAAACTATTATTTTAGCCCTTTTATACCGGGTAATTAAATTACTTTCAAGTTTTAAGTATTACCTATTTTCTGTATTAAACAAATGTTGCTCCAAAATTGTTCATATTATTACATGCATTACACTGTTTAATTTTTACATAACTATGCGCTTTTTACGTGTTATTTATTTTGCATTTCATGCCGATATAAAAAATAAACTATGTGATATGCTAAGTTGCAATAAAATTTTGATAGTTTTTTTTTTTTTGTACTATTTGTTCTAATTTTATTATATAAGTTTCATTTTATATTTTATATTTTATAGTTAGACACTTTAATTATTATAATATAATACACAACATCTTACCTATGTTTGTTGTATAATTTATTTGTTATATCGCGGTATTTATAATGAGAGAGAAATGAGAATACAACTTTATTATCTCCATACGATGGAATAAAATGTCAAAATTAAAGTGATTGCTGCGGTTTGCTTACATTGTAACAATATTAAAATTATGAAAATGTAAATATATTTATATTATTTTCATATGTCCCTAAATATTTTAGATACCTTCAATTTAAAGTATGTAAAAATTATAATTTATAATTTCTGAGTTATAAGATTCGTTTAAACTAATTAAATTTATTTTATTTACTTCAAATGGAAACGTGTTGAGTATAAACAAGTATTGACTAATACGAGGAAGGTCAAAAATATAAGCAGAAATATCGATCGTGGTAAACGAAAAAAAAATATGAAATTATTGTGTATTGAATAAGGAAATGCAATCACAAACGCTTAACAATACGGTAAATAATACATTTCAAAATAAAAATCACATTTTCAATGTAAAAATAAATTATTTACTATACTACAATGTTCAAATAATAATATGTTTACATAATATAATCATAATACTATTATTTTTGTTATTATTATATCGATTTAAACTCTACAATAATATTTACTCACGTTGTGTCTCCATGTCACTCTGTATACCCACGGATTGGATTTGATATTACATTCAAAGTACACGTCCATGCCCTCTTGTATAGCGCTGCCGTTGATATTGCTCCCAAGCTCAAGGTTAACAACTGGTACGTCTGTTGAGAAAAAAAAATTGTAAGACGGCACTCCGAGTATGCAAAAATATAGCAAACTAGTGCACGGCTAGCGGTTTTATGCTATCCGATCAACATTATCTTTCTAAATCATAAGTTACACAGCATCGTTTCATGACAATTATAACATTTCGTTATTAATATTATTTATTCATATTATATTAATTTTAAGTTTATATTATTATATGCTATTATACTTTGGTTAATCCTGTATGTCGTTTGACGATGATAAATTTAAAAAATGCCAGTGGTTTTATCCAATCTTAAACTCCATTAAACATAAGCTATACATATTGTTGCCACTCTAATTTGTATGGTTTTTACCAAATATAAAATAAAGGTTTGAAATTATATAAAACTATAACAATCTTTTTATTTTTTCTAACTAATAGTAACCATATAATATCAAATAAATATTCGTTTTTAGCGAGACAAGTCTGCGATGTGAATTCTTCTTTAAAATATAAAATTCAAAAGATGGCTTCGAGGTTCACATCTCTGGATGACAACAGAACCACAAGTGTAATAGACTTGGCTGTGAATCGTTTTTACGCACACACAGATTGCCATTTATTAATAATAATTGATAATTTATAATGCCTTTTCAAATCATTTATTTTCATTTGTAAAATAATTTGTTATTCTGTGTATTTTCAATGTAACTAATGTTTTTCTGTCAAACATAACTAAAATAAAAGTTCAATCGTTTTTAATGAAAAAAAAAAAAAAAAAAGAGAGACTTACATAAATTGAGTGTATTATAGATATAATTTTTTTCTCATAAAATCTATTGACCATGTAATGTATACATAGCTTATAAACGAATTAGGTCATAGCTATAAAAGTTTTATAATTGAAATAGTTTTTGTAATAAATATTATTATTTTTTTACGAAGCTCTGCATTTTTTCTTTTTTAATTTCAATATTTGAAATCTATCCAAAATTCAATTTCGAGTGGAATGATAGCGTTACTAGTGTTGTTTACTTCAAAGTTCATATTTTGAATCTGTAAACCTCTTTTTTCAAATATTAACCAATCTTGATTAAATAATTAGGTACTACGTAGTTATTTATTTTAAAATATTTTTCTTTTATTCTAAAAACAGACACTGTATATTTGGGAAAACAAAGTGCTCTCCATTTCGAAATATTATCATTTGCATTTAAATAAAATAATGAATAACGCTTAATTGTAATTCATAGAGATATTTTTAAAATATTGTTTATCGTTAAATTGATTATTACTTTTGATGTTATAAGTTTATAAGATTTTTATGTAAATTGGACTGAGATAAAATATTAAGTATGGAACTTCTTGAATTATGAAAATAATCTAAAATAGCAAGATATATAGTTAATTATTTTTGTTAAAACCGACAGTAAATTACAAACTCTGAAAAAACTTATAAATATAAATCATGAATTAATTAATATCGTAGTATTCATGATTATTCATGATTTAACAACAATTGTATTTGTATTAAGTAGTTTCAGTTCGGTTTTATAATATAATATTAAAACGTAAACTATTAAATATTTGAATATAAATAGTTATTATTTATACTTATTAAATTAGTCTTAAACGCACGTATATTATAAATTAGGGATTTCGTAATTTAAAATATATGCTTTATTTATAATATTATAATTCTGTCGTATGATAAACATAATGAGTGAGGAATAACACACGTTGGCAAAGTAAATTGAAAACGTCAAGAACTGGTTAAAAATGCAATTGAAAGGACGCATTTACAATAATATAATATGCGCGCTGCAGTTCGCTTAGATAGCAGTCTACTTGTTATTTTAGAGTTTACTCGTTTCTGTAAAATTGCAGTGCAATATTCACTATAATTTCTATTTCAATGTTAATGTGTACGGCGTAAGTGAATGACAAAATGCGTTCCTTTTTCAAAAAAAAAAAATAAAAAAACATTAAACAACACACGTGCATTTTTGGGTATATAATATATGATTCCAAACAACACACTGAGAACAAAACGTTTTATTTTACAGCTACATAACTCTTTGCATTATGTCAATGGTATTATTGTTTCATATATTTACCATTTTATAATTTTTTTCATAATATTTTATCAGGTATATGCGCATTAATGAACTCAAATTACGTGTTATCGATTTGTTTTGTTTGCGTCTTGTTTAACGACAATTTAATTAATATACGTCGAAATAAAATACGTTTAACAAAACACCACTAAATAGCCATTTTTGTATTCCCAAATTGGGTAAAATTCTCGCGTTCGAAATAACTAATAAGTATAGAAAACATGCAAACGGTACAATTTTATTGTCGTTTGTTGCCCTACGTATTACATGTGCAAGTCTAGTCGAATGGCATGCCTAAAAAAATTAATTAGTAATAAAAATTGTTGACAGGTCCTAGCGCGGTATAATCCATATATTATTTATATTTATGCGAGTTTTCAATTTATTCTCGTAGAGTCTTTATTAAGACGATGGAAAATAAACGACTAGTCGACGTTCATAATATTATGTAATGTGCACATACGCGTCGGCACGTGAGGATTTAAAATATTCTTCCCGTGTGAACACGACAGACGGAACTAAGCGGATACACATATAGTTTAGTCAATAGGACGACGACACATGTTCATTTCACTTTTCGCAATCAAAATATTATTTTCACTCGTACAACATAGCTGTGTGCGTGCGTTTGTGTGTATATTATAAATATGTGTGCCTCGCCGCGCTACGTGACCAAGTTCTCAAAACGAGCGTCCTTAATAAATACTTAAAACTCGGTGAAAATAACGCTTCTACCGGAATGTTCGTTAAAGTTATTTATGCACCAACATTTCTACAGGCGACATAATTTTCATCGGATCTCGCGTTTGTAAAGAGACAAATGAATGTGTATAGAAAAGCGTGTGCTATGCGTATTTTCCTAGTGCAATTCATCGGTGTGACTTCTACTTTTGCGATTTGCGTAATATAATTTTACGAACATAGTATCTGTTAGAGTATATATATATGTGTATATATAGTAGTAAGATGAATTTCCCGGAAAATTTGCTGAATTAGTCATGTGGAAATTCTTATGGTTTCAAGACTACTGCAGTACATACTATGTTTTACTAATACTTTGTCCAGAATCCTACTATGAGCGGTCTGAACCGTATTGAATTATTAATATTCATACAAGTCGCAAAAATACTTTTCGATTTTAAAACTTAATAGTAATTATCTATTTTGATCAGCAAAAATCTTTAAATATTTTTTCATCAGAAATTGTTTTATCTAGTAAGACTGTGGCTAAATAAAATACAATTGATACACTTAGTTACTGTCATATAATTTTATTTACTTGCCTATCTTTTATCATAACATATTACGTTTCATTTTTTATAAAAAAAATGTAATACAAATTTAATTACTTAATATAGTTTTAATAAATTAAAACATAATACAGTCTACTCTTGATAATTCGAATTGTTGAGTAGTTCGAAATAACGAGAGGGCAAAAAAATCAAATTATAGAGATTTAAGAAAACAATTTTGTTTTTTATTATTGTACATATTAATTATTTCAGTAAATTAGGTGGTGCATACTAGAATTATTAGAGTTATCGACGATTCGACGAGTTAAATTACGAATTACGATTAAAGACGATTAAAAAATAAAATCTATCAAATTATAAGGTTCTTATGATAATATTCTATAGTTATCGAAAATAATAAACTAAATTTCTACACGATTGTATAGTATTATAAAAATACAGATAAAATACATTTGGTGAATATACTTCGAATTTTCAAGTGTTAGTGGTCAGTTATCTCAAAATTTAATTAATAAAAATAAGTGTACTTAAATGTATTGTTTTCGTTCAAATTACCGCGTGATTTTTAAGGGATCGAGTATTTACTTCGAATTACTGAAGGTTTCGAATTATTAAAGGTTTGAATTATCGAAAATCGACTGTACTATTGTATATCATAATTACTAAACTTAATTCTGTGTATTTCAAAAATTTTTTTACTTCCACGATTTGTCTATTTTATTCAAATAATATGGTCATTGTGCACAAAACATATACTACAATATGAATCTTTTCTATTTTTGACTATAGATAATGGGAGTTGTACTCAGTGCTTGATGGGCAACTTTATCCGCAATATACTATTGTTGTATACATGAATACAAAATGCGATTTACAATATTCGAACATAAATATTTTGTTATTGCATAGATGATATAGTGACGGATGTGCTATTATTTTTTTTTTTTTTTTATTTCCTTGGGAAATCGTTTGAAAACCAAAGTGGAGAATAATATTATAGGGTATGTCGCGATATAAAAACCAATAACAATGATTACCATACAAAAACCGTCAATCCTTGACGCTACTACGTCAAATCGCTCAAGAAAGGAATGTTCTGTTTTATAGATGTTTGTTGATTTGGACGGAATAAAAATTAATTCGTATAAAAATTTAACTATAACTGGCCGACTGGAGTTCTCTTATATCGAGTTTCACCATTGATAAAGCGTACGGTAAAGATGATTTTTTGACAGATTGTCCGGTTTCGAATATTCACTTATTCGATAATTTAGAAATGCTATTACAACAGACTTTTCATGTGCGTTCTAAAAATCAAAAACCACTCAAGAAAGCAAGGAGAGTTTCGTTGTAGGAAGTAAAATTCGACAAGAGCGTTATTGGTGTGATGGTCGTACGCGAAGAGGCGAACAACGGGATCACATAAACCTTCGACAGAGATTTTATGTAATAAATGAATTTCCAACCATAATAACTGCATTGTACTTTTTCCTTGCAATTGTTTTAGGTTTAATCTTTGAAGATAGATCTAGGATATGGTATACGTACCACGAGTAGTCAATGACGTACTTTCTGATAAGACTAAATTAAGCTAAGGTATAAAATCTATTGAGCCCTTGTAGTCTAAAAGGGAACGAGCGGAAAAGTAATAAATGTATGTC